AAAATCCAAATGCGAAAGTTACTGAAACAAAAAAAGATGGCTAGAGCATGAAAGTGGTTCCTGAGTCTATCACAAATGTCCCTGCGCAGGGTTCGCTCCGCTCTCCTGCACAAAAAAAAAACACCCTTGATGATTTATGCACCTGGAGACGTCTCTTAGCAACGGCTGCTGTGAAGGAAATGTACTGAAAAACTTTCTCCAGGTTTTGGAGGGAGCGCCAAACCAGAGGTTAAATACATTTTAACACGTTCTCTGAAATGCAAAGGACGTATCATTGTATTAATTTGAAGGAGGAAAAAAAAAGGCAATTTGGCTTCCTACTTTTTTTATTTTTTATTATTATGGCTTTAGATTTTATTTATTTATTCATGAGAGAGAGAGGCAGAGACACAGGCAGGGAGAAGCAGGCTCCATGCAGGGAGCCTGACATGGGACTCGATCCCAGGTCTCCAGGATCACACCCTGGGCTGAAGGTGGCACTAAACCGCTGAGCCACCCGGGCTGCCCCTACTTTTTCTTTTAAAGGTTTTATTTATTTATTCATGAGAGACACAGAGAGAGAGGCAGAGACACAGGCAGAGGGAGAAGCAGGTTCGATGCAGGAAAGGCATCGAGGCAGACGCTCAACCGCTGAGCCACCTAGGCACCTCACTTCCTACTTGATATTACCTTTGTTTACTCTTAAAACACTCTTTTGCTATGTCGCAGTGGGAATTACGAATAGAATTTTTTAAAAAATATTTTATTTATTTATTCATGAGAGACACAGAGAGAGAGAGGCAGAGACACAGGCAGAGGGAGAAGCAGGCTCCATGCAGGGAGCCTGACTTGAGACCTGATCCCAGGACTCCAGGATCACGCCCTGGGCCAAAGGCAGGCACTAAACCGGGGCGCCACCCAGGCATCCCACGAATAAAATTTGAGTGTGTCTTTGGATTTGGCAGTCAGGATTCTTTATGAGAAGTTGTTTGGGATTTTTAAAATGTAAGAAAAAAGTTCTGTTGGTCATATGTCTCTGCTTGAAAAGGAGAAGGAAAGTAGGTTCTGAAAAATCTATTTTTAATTTTTTATTTTGAATTGATTTTCGATATATGGGAGATTGCAAAGAAATGTATAGGAACATCCCATGCAGTTCTTCCCACCAGCCCCATGTAAAACCCATTTTGACTATTTTTTTTCCAAAGAAAAGAAAAAAAAGCTAAAGGGTTGAGCTAAAAAATGGGCGGCTTAGGTCTAGCCCAAAGGCACAGTGGAGACCCGGGTGCTGGACCCCCACGTTTGGTTCAGCTTCCTTGTTTCATTCGCCGAAAAATGGACGGCTACCGGCAGGGGGCGCGGCAAGGGCATGGGACGGGGACACTCCAGCCACTGTCTCTTTACTTTTAATGCTTCCTCCTCCCCCCATTTCAAAATTCAAAATGACTGGATTTAGGGTTGGGCTGGGGTGAGGCTTGAATGTGGGTTGTGGGGTTGAGCCACACTTCTTAGGTTTTGTTTTGTCCTATCCTTGCCAGGTCTCTAGCCCTTATCTTTCTAGGAGAGGCCTTTCTCCCCCCTCTTTCTGAATTAAGGACTTCTCATCTGCATGCAGGTAGTGATAATGGCGAAATCAATTTAAAATCATATACAAGAAAAAAAAAGCGACTTAGCCCGTTTTGGGGGAGGATGAAGAAAGATCTATGAAAGTTTAAGGTCACTTATTTCAAACTAAGCACATGGAGTTACGTGAAAGAAGCATGGAACTATTTGGGATTGTACTTTAATCCTATATTTTTTTCTGGTTGAGGAGAGAGATGAAAGTAAATCCCGGATGCCGGGGGGAAAAAAGGCAAAGAGGGAATGAGGAGAGGCAGAGGCTTATCCTTAGCTTAGAGGTAAGACTTTCTAGAAGGATTTTGAGATTCGGGTCATCTACTGTCCCACTTGGACAGTAAGTTTCGTAGTACCATCTCTTATCACTGCCCTTTGAAATGTTAATTGACTAGCCAGTCATCCTAGCTTTTCAGAATGCTATAGGTATCCTGGTATCCATCTACTGGAATAGCCACAAGCACTCAAGAGGAGATCCTAACCTAGGTTGCAACAGCAGTTCTGCTCTGTGTTATGACCTTCTGTGTTCAGAGATGCCCCAGCCTGCCTGACAGAGAAGCTTAAGTACACAGTGAAACAGCCCAATGTTATGTATAATGGCAAACTGCTTATCAGTGTCCTTATGGAAGTCTTCTATCTTCATGCAGATACAATAAATACTATGGGCCACTCACCAGCTCTGGCTACAGCCCTTCACTCCTTGCCAGTGCTCACCACCTGCCTTCCCCCTCAAAAACCAGTAAAAGTATTGGCTTCTCCACTATCATTGGGAGAGGCAATTGCAGGGTGTAACCAAGTTTTCTCCATTCTTTGGCTTCCTCTTGGCTACTCTTGACTCTCCAGGTAGCCCCAGGACCATGTTTATTTGTTGAATGGTTAGCTACTTTAGCACTGCCATCATCAACACACGAACCCTCTACCATTCCCAAGCAGACCTCACCTGGGAAGTTGTTAGAAATGCAGAATCATGGGCTCTGCTTCGGGCCTTCTGAATCCGAGTCTGTGCATTAGCACAAGCCCCTGGTGATTCTCATGTGCACATTAAAATGTCAGAAGCATCAATGGCCTCCCTGGCTCTCACTCTCTTCTATTCCAGATTGCCACTTCACCTGCCGGAAACCATACTTAAATCATCTTGAGGCTCAGGGTTTCTTCATAATCTGCTAGTATACTCAAAGAACAGCTCCTCAAACCCCCTTTCCACTCTTCAGCTCCTCATTCCTGTTTTTTTCTCCTCCCATTCCTATCCCCTCTCTCCCTGCCTTAACTTTGCAGAGGCCAGATGACCTTGCTGTGCTAGAATTTGTTTCCTTCTATGCTTCAGTATGTTTTTGGCCTTCTACCACTCTCTATTCTTTTCTCAGGTCCGGATGCAGTAATATCTTCCTTATTTCTAAGGCACTTCTACTGGCACCTTTTGGGCATTCCTAATCCCCTCTTCTGGGATCTTGGTGCCTTACTGGTCTTCTCTTTCACAGAATCATGTGCATTGTTTCCGCTAAGCCCTTCCTTTTTGCATCCAAATGTGCAGAGATCTTTTAAGAAAATCACAACATACACACACATTCACATTCACTTGATCCTACTCCTGGTTTGTGTTCTATTTCTCCTGTTTCAGAATCAGATTTTTCCGACAAACTGTATAGAACAGTGGCTTATAATTTGGGCAGTTTTGACCCTCCCCCCCACCCTTCTGGGGACATTTGGCGATGTCTGGAAACATGTTTGGTTGTTGCGACTGGTGGAGATGCTACTGGCATCTAGAAGTGGGTAGAGGCCGAGGACAATAATAAACATGCTAAAATGCACAGTACAGCCCCGCACAACAAAGAATGATCTGACTAGGCAGGCCATCTTGGATTGCCTTTGGCTTTCTTGGTCAACACACCGAAAATCCTATGCCTCAGGAAACCACTCAGTCCTGGCCGTACTGAGATGCTTGGTCACCTTATATCTGGTCCCAAATGTCAAAAGTGCCAAAGTTAAGAAGCCCTGCTCTAGAACAAGGGGATCCGTTAACTTTACTTTTTTTTTTCTCACCAACTCCCTTCTTTCAACCTGACATTTAGTTTGTGTTCTTTTCTATGAAAAGTTTTCTTGACACCAATGGTCACCTTCTCATCAAGAAATACAATGGCCTTTTTCCCTCCTCCCTCAACCTTTTTGATCCCTTTCAAACATTTTTGGAGACTTTTTCTCATACTCTTACTTCTCTCCCCCCTTCTCTCTTTTGTGGGTCCTTATTTTCCACTATCTCTTGACTGTAGATAGCCCCATAGTCCAGTGTTTCTTGCCTCTCTTCCTATTTCTTCTACTGAAGAATTTATGCCACTCCTTAGCTTCACATCTCCTCTGTATTAGTTGATTCCCAGATCCCTTTCCTGAGCCTTAGTCTTTTTTTATTTATTTTTAAATATTTTATTTATTTATTCATGAGAGACCAGAGAGAGAGAGAGAGAGAGAGAGGCAGAGATACAGGCAGAGGGAGAAGCAGGCTCCATGCAGGGAGCCCAATGTGGGACTTGATCCCGTGTCTCCAGGATCATGCCCTGGGGTGAAGGCAGGGCCAAACCGCTGAGCCACCTGGGCTGCCCCCTAGTCTTTCATTTCCAAGTAATTGAATGGTTCTCTTGGCTGTTCAGCAGGATCTAAAACTCCTAACATGAGTAGTAGCAGGTTAAGAACACTTATTTAAGATGATGGCAAGAAGCAAAGACAATACAGTTAGCTTATACTTCCAGTCTGTCTTCCATTTTGGTCTGATAGAACATATAAACTCTATCCAAACAGTAACTCTATTCATGCTTTTATATACCTTGTGATTTCCTCCTTCCATGGTTTTGCTCCATGTCTTAATGCTTTTGGAAAACATTACTGCCCTTTCTTCAAATCTTCCTAATCATTCCAATCAGGAAAATGTGGAATGATGCAAATACTGGGTTAGGAGTCAGAAGACCTATTTCTGTCTCCCTACTTTCTGACCTTGGGACAATTACTTGAGCTTTCTTTGGCTTTCTATATTTTAAGTAAAGAAGAATCCCATCCCTGGCTGCTTTGGATAGCTCATATGAAAAAAAATGCCTTGAAAATGTGAATTACCATATAAGCATTGTCCAACCTGAAATCTGATAGTGCTGTGTGCCTTTTATCTGGAAACTTACTATCTCTTGCATGTAAAGTAGTGACAAATTCTATAAACGTCTTAGAAAGTAGGGACCCGAATGTAAACCTTTTTCTTCTATGCTTTCTGTCATTGTTCATGTCATGTTATCAGATTCTGAGGAAAAACTGATGAAAAAAAAAGCAATTCCGTGTGCTATTCAGTTTTTATTCTTGATTCACTAATTCCAAAGAGTTTCTACTACAAATGTATCATCTTTCCTTTTTTTTTTTTTTAAACCTCCGATTAGGTGATGTCTTTCCAGTGCAAATGAATCCAATAGCTCAGTCTCAGTTTATACCTTTGGCTGAAGTCCTTTGCTGTGCTGTATCTGATATGAATGCTGCTCAGATTGTAGTGACACAGGAATCGTTATTGGAGCACTTGATGAAACACTACCCAGGTAGCGTGACAAGTTTTATTAGTTCATTGCATGTGTTTGCTTTCTCTTTATAAATCATCTTAAATATGTAAATAAACTGGGCAATAACCACTTTTTTTCTTCTGTTGTCGAACCTTGTATTAGAGCCCTGCTAGGAAAAGGCCTGCACCAACAATTTGAGAAGGGCATTTTTTTAAAGATTTTATTTATTTATTCATGAGACACACACACACACACACACACACACACACACACACACAGACAGAGAGAGACAGAGAGAGAGAGAGAGAGGCAGAGACCCAGGCAGAGGGAGAAGCAGGCTCCATGCAGGGAGCCTGACGTGGGACTCGATCCTGGGACTCCAGGATCACTCCCTGGGCTGAAGGCAGGCGCTAAACCACTGAGCCACCCGGGCTGCCCAAGAAGGGCATTTTTCTTTTACTTTCCAGATGAGCTTTTTAGAAACCAGTTCTTATGGCAATAGACAAATTGTACTGTAGAAAAGAGTACAAAGCAAAAAAAAGGAAAAGTTTATCTTCTCCCCCACCTCCATCCCTTTCTTCCATTGCCACTTCCCAGAGGTGATAGCGCCTATTGTTTTTTTTTTTTTAAGATTTTATTTATTCATGAGAGACACACAGAGAGAGAGAGAGAGAGAGGCGCAGAGACACAGGCAGAGGAAGAAGCAGGTTCCATGCAGGAAGCCCAACATGGGACTCGATCCTGGGTCTCCAGGATCACACCCTGGGCTGAAGGCTGCACTAAACCGATGAGCCACCCAGGGATCCCCGACAGCTCCTATTGTTTATCATCTACTGTGTATATGTTCATAAATTGTATTTGAGTATATGTATTCTTTTAATAATATAAATTGAATCATTCTTTTTTTAATTAATTAATTTATTTATTTATGATAGTCACACACACAGAGAGAGAGAGAGAAGCAGAGACATAGGCAGAGGGAGAAGCAGGCTCCATGCACCGGGAGCCCGACGTGGGATTCGATCCCGGGTTTCCAGGATCGCGCCCTGGGCCAAAGGCAGGCGCCAAACAGCTGCACCACCCAGGGATCCCTGAATCATTCTTTTTTTAAAAGATTTTATTTATTCATGAGAGACACACACACACACACACAGAGAGAGAGAGAGAGAGAGAGAGAGAGAGAGAGAGAGGCAGAGACACAGGCAGATGGAGAAGCAGGCTCCATGCAGGGAGCCTGACTTGGGACCTGATCCCGGGTCTCCAGGATCACACCCTGGGCCTGAAGGCAGACGCTAAACCACTGGGCCACCGGGGCTGCCCTGGATCATTCTTTACAGTCGGTCTGTGCCTTGCCTAAGTTAAAAAAATATTTTGGAGGGGTGCCTGGGTGCCTCAGTCAGTTGAATGCCTTACTCTTGATTTTGGCTCAGATCATGATCTCAGGGTCGTAAAACTGAGCCCTGAGTGGAGCTGTACAGCACGCTCCAAGTTCAGTGAGTAGTCTGCTTGAGATTCTCTCTCTCCTGCCCTGCCCTACCCCCCATGTGTACACGTTCTCTCAAATAAATCTTTTAAAAAAAGTTTTGGAGATCTTCCTGTATTTTTTTTTAAGATTTTATTTATTTATTTATTTAGTTCGTTAGTTAGTAAAGATTTTATTTATTCACGAGAGACACACACAGAGAGGCAGAGACACAGGCAGAGGGAGAAGCAGGCTCCATCCAGGGAGCCCCACGTGGGACTCGATCCTGGGTCTCCAGGTCCACACCCTGGGCTGAAGCCGGTGCTAAACCCCTGGCCACTCGGGCTGCCCAGATTTTATTTATTCATGAGATATACAGAGAGGCAGAGACATAGGCAGAGGGAGAAGCAGGCTCCCTGAGGGAAGCCCGATATAAGACTCTATCCTAGGACTGGGGTCACAACCCAAGCCAAAGGCAGATGCTCAACCACTGAGCCACCCAGGCGACCCTTTCTATATTATTATATATCAATTTATTTCATTCTTTTCACACCTGCATGATATCCCAATGCATGGATGTATAATAGTATTTTTAATTTTTCCCATTATAAAATGAATATGCTTATTGTAGAAAAATCAAGAAAATATAGAAAAGTAACCACTTACAGTACCACCACCCAAAGAAAATCAATGTTAATATATTGATGTATTTTCTTCCAGTGTTATACAAACATGTTTCACGGTATAAATACAATTTTGAACCCTGCTAGTTAGAAAAAATTTCTTTTAAAATCGTTACCTTCCTACTTTGAGAAACTATCATAATACAGATATTAGGTAGTTTGCCTTCAACCTGGCACAGACTGGTTTCCATTTTCTCTTTAGATTCTTACTAAGATTTAAGCAACGAGGCTGCAGTTTTCAAAAATTCCCATGTTTGCTTCCAAGAAATCAAAATTTAAATTCATGATGGGGTTGTAGAACTTGTTTGTATTCAAGTGAACTCAGATTTTTTTCTCTACTTAACCATTAATTTACTACTATCTATTTGTGTAGACCAATACTCAATTAAATTGTCACTATTATTGATGCTTCTGTGGCATTTTACTTACATATATTAATTGGGTTACAGTTAGCTCTGGTTTCATCAAGCAAATGTGTGGTCATTTCTGAGTTACTGATTTCACTCATCAAAGTGTTTTTTTTTTTTAATTCAAAATCTATCGGTGCAATAAAATGCTTGTTTGTTTTAGGTATTGCAATCCCATCTCAAGATGTTCTGTATACCACCCTGGGAACTCTGATTAAAGAAAGGAAAATTTATCACACTGGAGAGGGATACTTCATAGTCACTCCTCAGACTTACTTCATCACAAATACAACCCCCCAAGACAGTAAGAGAGACCAATCAGATGAAAGTCACCCAATGCCAACTCGCATTACATATCTGGTGAGCATGGCGAGCTGTACGGAGTTAGCGGAAAACACTGCCCACATTTCCCATTGCCAGTCTTGCCGGTGTTTCCCTGATCCGTGCCCTCCGAATGTAGAGACACCCGCTGCTGCAGAAGTGGCTAGGAAAAGCCAGAAAGATCTTCAGGAATCCAAATCTTTGGTTCAGAATCGAGCAGTTTCAGTGTCTGAGCATCACATCTGTGAAAGTGCCAAACCATTACCATACACAAAAGACAGAGAAAAAGGCAAGAAGTTTGGCTTTAGCCTCTTGTGGCGTAGTATATCCAGGAAGGAGAAGTCCAGAACAGAGCACAGCACTTTCTCTGCCCAGTTCCCACCAGAAGAATGGCCTGTTCGAGATGAGGATAACTTGGACAATATCCCTCGAGACATTGAACATGAGATTATCAAACGAATTAATCCCATTCTGACCGTTGACAATTTAATCAAACATACAGTCTTAATGCAAAAATACGAAGAACAGAAACAATGTAATAGCCAGGGCACTTCCACTGATATGCTGACGATTAAGCATAAATATACTTCAAAAGAGGGAGTTAGGAAAAGGCGGGGCCAGTCTGCAAAGTCTCCGAGGCGGCGAGGAGGCCATTCTCAGAGGGAGAGACACAAAGTCAGGAGTCAGGGAAGTGAGCCTCAGCCCGGAAGCCTCAGACTGCAGAAGCATCCCAAGCTCCCTGCCACACAGCCCACCCCCAGGATTAAGAGCCCAAATGAAGCAGTAGTTGAGAAACCACTGGAGAATCTATCAGTGCTGGGTTCCCACTTGATTTACAAGAAGCGAATTAGTAATCCTTTCCAGGGTTTGCCTCACCGAGGGACCCCAATAACCAAAGGGCACAACATCCAGAAGACCAGTGACCTAAAAGCCAGTCAGACTGGACCAAAGGGAAAGCCTTTCCAAAGGTCAGGATCTCCGGATTCCTTAAGAATCTTTGAGAGTGAAGCCAAACAACCACATGCTGAGCCATGTAAAGATAAACCGGTGGCGGAATCCATTTATATGAGTGACTCTACTGTCAAACCTACCAGTGATGACTTAAGAGATCCCCTCTTAAATTACTGTCAATGTAGTGTTTTGCAAGATGGCAGTAAATGTTCCTTTAGGAAAAGCATGTTGAGATATGATGTATGTGGTGGAAAAAACGAGGTAATCCCTGAGGTCTTGAGGAAAAGTTATTCTCACTTTGACGCCTTAGGGGAGGCAAAAGAAACACAGCATGTCCTGTTATCACAAGGCCCCCCCTCCGTAGGCCATACATCCTCTGCTTGTAGCCTAGTTGATAAAACAATACACCAGTTCCAAAATCTTGGTCTTTTGGATTACCCAGTTGGTACGAACTATTTGAGACAACCTGAGAGACAAGACGGAGACTTAGAAGACGTATCAGTGAGAAAGGCACTTGTCCAGGAAGCAGAGACTGTAAGTCTAGAAAACGAAGGGCTTTCTGATGATAATCAGGCCTTGTATCGGAATGAATTGGAAGATGATGATGGTGCCTGTAGTTCATTGTATCTAGATGAGGAAGACTTTTCTGGGAATGAGGACTTATGTCAAATGCTGCCTGGCCACATTCAGTATTCCTTTACGGGGAGAAGCAAGTGGAATCATTTGGGAAAACAAAAAGTGACCAAAAGATCTGTGACTGAGTACAACAGCAAAATACACAGGTCTGAGCTGCAGGTGCTGAAAGGAAATGAGTGTTACAGACCCTCTGGGTTTTTCACTAACCCAGGTGAAAGCCAAACACCTAATCTCTTGGCTGGAAGCAGTGGCCTCAGTTCGGGGACTCAGTCCAGTTTTAACTATGAGGAAGAACCTAGCTTCATGACCTCTGGCCAAACTGAGGGAAGTACATTTGATTACTATAGCACAAAGAAAGCCAATTCGGAGACTGAAACCCTACAAGACTCTATTGGTGACACTGCAAAGAAACCGACTAGCTGGAGTCTGAGTGCTCAGAGTCAGGGAATGAGAAGGCAGTTCACAGAAAAGGTAGTTTTCACCACTTCCCATATGCCAGTGTTGGCTCAGGATATCCAACGTGAACACAGCCATTTGGAAGGAGCAGAAAATCATAGCATGGCAGGAGACAGTGGCATAGATTCTCCACGGTAAGTATGTGGACAAGTGTTTGATGGGCCAGTGTTCCTCAGGAGTTATTAAAATCAAGGATGTATTGAATTATCTAGTGGGAGACTCCTGAATAAACTTTTTATAGTGATATACCAGCCTTTACTGAATAAATTGTATACAATTACAATGAAATATCTTATATAATAGGATAAAGTTCATTATTTATGTTAACCAAAATTTACTACTTCTAAATCTTGAATTATTATTTTTAAGATTTTATTTATTTATTCATGAGACACACAGAGAGAGGCAGAGACACAGGCAGAGGGAGAAGCAGGCTCCATGCAGGGAGCCTGACATGGGACTCGATCCCGGGACTCCAGGATCATGCCTTGGGCTGAAGGCAGCGGTAAACTGCTGAGCCACCCAGGCTGTCCTAAATCTTGAATTATTTCTAAAAAACAGGAATGAGCTGCTATAAATGAAGCGCTTTCTGAACTGAAGGTTGGAAGTTTTCACTTATATTTTTGGTTCTACACAGGTTGAGAAAGAGATGCAGCTACTTTCCACCAATATTATCCATGCTAATTTGTTTAAATAACATTGTTTAGATTATGAAAGTAGTATAATCATAAGAGAATGTTTGAGAAGTCCTGAAAAGTGGTTTTTAAAAAAGATTTGAGAGAGAGAGAGCACGCCAGTGGACAGGGGCAGGGGCAGAGGGAGAGGAAGAGAAATCCTCAAGCAGACTCCTGGCCGAGTTTGGAGCCTGACATGGCGCTTGATCCCAGGAGTCTGAGATCATGATCTGAGCCAGAGTCAAGAGTTGGATGCTTAACTAACTGAGCCACCCAAGCACCCCAGTACTGAACACCTATAATTACTCTACTGTTTAGATATTTTTTAAAAGTCCTTTTATATTTTTATCTTTTATATGTGGTATATTTATAACACTTGAGTCTGAATATATTGATCTATTTATTTTGTTTAAATGTTTTACCTATACCGTAGTTCTTATTTTGCATGGTGCTTTTTTCAAATGATAGTACATTGTGAACATTCTCCTCATATTCTTAGTTTTCAAAAAGTTCATCTTAGGGGCACCTGGGTGGGTTGGTGGTTGAGCATCTGCCTTTTGCTCAGGTCATGATCCCTGGGGTCCTAGGAGCGAGTCCTGCATCATGCTCTCTTTAGGGAGCCTGCTTCTCCCCCTGCCTTTGGCTCTGGCTCTCTGTGTCTTTCATGAATAAATAAATAAATAAGATATTTTTTAAAAAGCTCATCTTAAAATTTGGCATATATCTTTACTAGTTTTTTATTACATAAACTTGTGTGCTTCATTTTGAAGTAAAGTAATACAGAAATGTAAAGGATAGGGGTGCCTATGTGGCTAAGTCAGTAAAACATCTGTCTTCAGCTCAGGCCATGGTCTCAGGGTTCCTGAATTGAGTCCCATGTCAGGCTCCCAGCTCAGCAGAGAATCTGCTTCTCCCTCTCCCTTTGCCACCCCACACTCCGCTTGTGTGCTCTCTCTCTCTCAAATAAATATTTTTTTAAAAAAGGAAATATAAAAAGTAAAAATGGAGACACCTGGATGGCTCAGTCAGTTGAGTGTCCAACTCTTTGATTTTGGCTCACGTCATGATCTCAGGGTCATGGGATCAAGCCCTGTGTTGGGCTCCACGCTCAGTGGGGAATCTGCTTGAGATTCTTCCTCTCCCTCTGTTCCTCCCTCAGCTAGTGCATGTGCTTTCTCTCTCTAAAATAAATAAATAGGGCAGCCCGGGTGGCTCAGCAGTTTAGTGCCGCCTTCAGCCAAGGGCCTGATCCTGGAGTCGCAGGATCGAGTCCCACGTCGGGCTTCCTGCATGGAACCTGCTTCTCCCTCTGCCTGTGTCTCTGCCTCTGTGTGTGCGTGTGTGTGTGTGTGTATGTGTGTCTGTCATGAATAAATAAAATCTTTAAAAAATAAAATAAAACTAAAAAAATAAATTAATTAATCTTTAAAAATAAATAAATAGGGATGCCTGGGTGGCTCAGCAGTTGAGCATCTGCCTTCGGCTCAGGTCATGATCGCGGAGTCCCGGGATGGAGTCCTGCTTGGGCTCCCTGCATGGAGCCTGCTTCTCCCTCTGCCTCTGTCTCTGCCTCTCCGTCTCTCATGAATAAATAAAATGGTTAAATAAATAAATAGTAAAATTTGAGGTCTCCATTCCCCAACTTTTGCCATTGCCTTTCTGTTGAAGAGACCTACACGTTTTTAATAGTTTGGCTTATGTTCTTTCAGACATCTGTGTGTTTATAAATAGATTTATTTTTTTTAAAGATTTTATTTATTTATTCATGATAGTCGCACAGAGAGAGACAGAGAGGCAGAGACACAGGCAGAGGGAGGAGCAGGCTCCATGCAGGGAGCCCAAGCAGGACTCGATCCCGGGACTCCAGGATCGCGCCCCCGGCCAAACGCAGGCACCAAACTGCTGTGCCACCCAGGGATCCCTAGAATTATTTTTTAACAACAAATCATATGGAGTTGTGGCTTTCTTTTTTCACCTAATTTACCATGGATATCTTGCAATCAATACATATAGATCCAGCTCATTCTTTTTCATGTCTGAGAATTCCATTATGTGGAATTTATATAACTATTATTTTCCTTCCTTTGACATTTAGATTCCCAATTTTTGCTGTAATAAATCAATCTGCAGTGGATTGCTTCTTACATGTAAATGCTTGCAAGGTATTTCTGACTATATCTTTGGCTAAATTCCTGGAGGTCTGCATTTTTATTTTTTATTTATTATTATTATTTTTAATATTTATTTATTTATTCATAGAGACACACACACAGAGAGTGAGAGAGAGAGAGAGAGAGAGAGAGAGAGAGAGAGAGAGAGAGAGAGGCAGAGACACAGGCAGAGGAAGAAGCGGGCTCCATGCAGGGAGCCAGGCGCGGGACTCGATCCTCGGTCTCCAGGATCACACCCCGGGCTGCAGGTGGCGCTAAACCGCTGCGCCACCAGGGCTGCCCGGGGTCTGCGTTTTTAAAACATAATCTTCACTTTTTTAGACAACAGATCTTTTCTGTTTGAAACAATTGTTTAATTCATATCAAGTCTTTAAAGTATCAAGAAATGGGGCGCCTAAATGGCTTAGTCGTTGAGCGTCTGCCTTCAGCACAGGTCATGATCTCAGGGTCCTGGGATGAAGCCCCACATAGGGCTTCCTGCTCAGTGGGGAGCCTGCTTCTTCCTCTCCCTCTGTCTGCCGTTCCCCCTGCTCGTGCACTCTTTCTCCTCAAATAAATAAAATCTGGGTTTAGAAAAAAAATAAAGTATCAAAACATAATGTCCGCAAAGTAACAATGGTAGTGTTAGCCAACAAGCCATGAGTTCCCTCTCTCTCTCTGGCAAAAGCAGGAACAACAACAACAAAAAATCAAACCTAAAACAGTTAAGGGAAATTACTCCTTGACATGTAGCTGAGAATTTAAATTTGTGAAATCTTGAGAAATTTAATTTCTTAAAAGTTGTTTATAATATAGTTCTCTTGAAAGACTTGTAAGTATAAGCATTAAAGATATGTAGAAGAAAAGGGAGGGAAGATAGCATTTGAACATAAACTATATGCCCTGTTACAAGAATTACAGGAATAGAGATGAATAAGATGTTGCTACCTACAGGAAGCTTACACTTTACTTAAGTAGACCAACAATAAACAATAAAACAGACAAGTTGGTCTTAAGTAGACCAACAAACAGACAAACTGAACTCAAGTACAAAGCAGAGGGGGATTTGGCTGGCTCAGTTGATAGGGCACATGACTGTTGATCTTGGGGTTGTGAGTTGGAGCCCCACATTGGGGGTAGGGTTTCCTTAAAGAAAAAAAAAGACAAAGCAGAAACTCTTCATAACTGCCAAAGAGATGTGGAATTAGAGTGATGAGATGTTTAAGGGAACATTTCAATTGGAGGACACATTTTTGAGGCATATCAATGTAATGAGCATGTAATAGAGAGAATAGGTGGGAAATGGGGAATGTCAAAAGCAAAATGCCCAAACAAGTAATTTGATTTGGCTGAAGCAAAGCAGATGTGTTTAGATAAAGGACTAACCTAACCTATAGCTCCTTGGAAAAGAACATTGTCAGTGTGAAAAATATTATAGTTGGCTTTTCTCTTTCATATGACTTCTCAAAAAAGAAACAAATTACACCTGAGTTGTATAGAAGAGGTTTTCAGGGACAATATTCTTTTTATTTTCTTCTTTTTAAAAGTTTGTTTAAATAATCTCTACACCCAACTGAGGCTTGAACTCACAATCCTGAGATCAACAGTTGCAGGCTCTTCCCATGGAGCCAGCTAGGCACCCTGGGAGCTCATTGTTTTTGACTAGAATATAATTGATATTGGATCTGAGAAAAGATGTTCTGAAAATATGAACTTCTTGGAAAGTAGCTGTCAAATAACTGAGGTGCTATCGTGAAGCCTTTAAAATGTAAGGAGCACCTTAGATTTTTAAAGGTTAACTTATAGGATAAGTGCACCTTAGTGTTAGTAAATGTTATGCTGCTTCAAAGTAATAAATGAAGGCATAATGCTTTGATTAGAAATGCAGGCCCTTTTGGAAGGTAATAATTCTGTTATTTTTAATATCTTAGGACACAGAGTCTGGCATCTAATAATTCAGTCATTTTGGATGGACTAAAAAGAAGACAGAGTTTTCTGCAGAACTTTGAAGGCACGAAGAATGGTCAAACACTCACATCCAATTCCTTACTACAACTAACTCCAGTCATAAATGTCTAATTCTTATTTTTTCTTTTGGAAACCTTTTGATAAGAATATACAGCATTAATATAGAATATTTTAATCAGCTGAGTATAGAAGAATTCTCTAAAGCCAAGCATAGGTGCTGTTAATCTCATTACATATTTTGTTCCAGTTGCTGGCTTTTTTCCCTTTTTGATGTTTTAAAGCTTATTGTACTATGAAGTTTATTGGGAATATATAGATTTTTCACAATTAAAAAAACCCATAAAGTCCGTGGTCCTTTTCCAATTAAATGTAATTAAATCAAATTGCCAGACATTCATTAGTTTCTCAAATACATAGGGTGCTGTTAGTGAATTTCTCTACCCACATTAAGTTCTTTTAAGGATCTCGCTAGAGTTCAGCACAGAAATCCAGAAATAGTGTGTTAGGGTTGTATAGATGCTTTGTTTACAACTAAAGTCTTTTATTATTCTCAGAAAGAATTTATATAGATGTACTGGGTACTTTGCAGTAAGAGTTTTTTTCTATCTAGTCATTGCTGCCAAGATCTTCTCTGCAACTACCTTGAATATGAACAGATGGCCCCAAATTGTACTGACTGTCAATGTACAAAATACCTGTGGCAGCATCTGGGTCTACTATTTTTCTGGTTCTTCTCACATTTGAGGCACTCTCTATAGCATGGCGGTGAGAAGTCAGGATGTTCTCAGATGGTGGAGATAGAGAGGAAGTAGAATGGTTGTAGAATGGTTTGTGAGTAAAAGGAGGTTCTGAATTAAAGACTCGGAGAAAAGATGGAAGATGGATAGTTCATTTACATTTGTTTCCACTAAGACTAAATAACTTTGTTGGAATTTTTTCTGGCTGGCCTTTTCAGACCAAATAGTGGAAATGGTCGATTCTCTTGGGTTTGGGGAACATGGAGCAGTCAAGACTGGCTTCAGCATATTGGATAGATGCTAATGCTGACTTATGGTTGAGGGGATGTTTCTTCTAAGACGTTTCTAAGGATTGTTAAGGCCTTAGATCTCAAGCATGATTAAATAATTGGAGAGTGCCTCTTTTAATTCTCACTGTCCTGATAACAGTGAAGGTAAGATGAAGCTCAGCACCATGGAGACTGCCTCCTGGTACAGGTGGTGGTGGCGGTGGTGTAGTGCAGTGGAGGGGAGATCAGACACGTTGCTGTGTTTTGCAGCGATTGGCCCACTTGCTCCTAACTGTTGGCTTTTAGTGGCTCTGAACAACCTACCATGGCTTTCGAAGAAAATCAGCTGTGGTCCCAAGGACATTTGAAACTTGGGCAAAGTACCAAGAAAAGGCTTATGGGGGAGGCATTGTTTTGGGGGGTCTTATAGCTTGGAATCATTATCTGCGAATGAAAGTTAGAAGAAAGATTTCAGCTTATTTAAAGAACTTTCCATTAGTCAAAACCATCTATAGATGAAACAAACACTTTTATAAAAGAATGAATTTCTCATTCTTTAGGGCATTCAAGCAGAGGCTTGGTAATCCTTTGATTGGTATGCTGCAGAGGTATTTCCAGTACTTATCAGGATTGCTGAACTAGATGATTTTGAAGATTCCTTCCAACTGTAAGGTTTTGTGCTTATAAAATATGGTGAGAGGGATCCCTGGGTGGCGCAGCGGTTTGGCGCCTGCCTTTGGCCCAGGGCGCGATCCTGGAGACCCGGGATCGAATCCCACGTCGGGCTCCCGGTGCATGGAGCCTGCTTCTCCCTCTGCCTGTGTCTCTGCCTCTCTCTCTCTCTCTGTGACTATCGTAAATAAATAAATAAAAAACCTTTAAAAAATAAAATATGGTGAGGGTTATATGTCAAATGTGTCTCAAGGAAAAAAGAAAAAGACTAAGGATCCTGCAAAATACTAAGCACATGCGAGATTCCTGAGTTCTTTTAGTTCTCCATTTTTCTACACCTATCCCTGTCAATCCTTGGGAAAAAAGAGCAACAACAACTCTGTCCTATCTTTGATTTTGAAGTTGGACAAATTTCTTAATAGACTGGAGGGATCCAAAGTCTTTTGTGGCTCTAGTCATATGTAGAGACCAATGAAATCCATCTAATTTTGCCACTAGATGCATTATGACACTTTCTGAATGTATTAAAATGAAGATTATTGGGGATCCCTGGGTGGCTCAGCAGTTTGGCGCCTGCCTTTGGCCCAGGGCGCAATCCTGGAGTCCCGGGATCGAGTCCCACATCGGGCTCCCTGCATGGAGCCTGCTTCACCCTCTGCCTGTGTCTCCGCCTCTCTCTGTACTCTTATGAATAAATAAAATCTTTAAAAAAATAATAAAATAAAATAAAATGAAGATTATGAAACCAATAAAACTTTCCTTCTACAAAATACAACATATGACTACAGGTGTTAAAGATGGGTATATGTGTTAGTTGTTTGGGAGATTATTCTCTAAAAAGGTGACTTGCATTTTCCCCCCAATATTAATTTGTGCATGATAACATTAGTTCTTGATTTCTCTTCCCCATTGTGGTCTATTCTCTAAGGAGAAAACTGTTCTCTTGAGGCAGCATGATGACCTGAGCTTAGGAGTCAGACAAGTTTGAATCCCAATTACAATCCTTGGGAGCTGTGTGATAAAGTTTTCAAACTTCTGTGATTCAGTTTTCTTATCTGTAAAAGGGAGATAGTAATGATATATCTACCTTACAGAACTGTTGTAAGATCTGAGGTTGATCTATTCAAAGTGCCCAATGTAGGAGGCACCTGATATTATTATAAATTTGTGTGTATATTTTTATTTATATATTCACAAAACTTGTCAGGTGAATACATCACCTACTATGCAGGTCCTCTGTTTTTGCTAGGTTGTCTGGAATTCCTCTATTTAGAGATTCAGTCCTTTAGGTTAAGATTCTAAGAAGTTTAAAAAAAAAGAGTATAAGAAGTTTCATCAATTCAAACCCAGATTTGCCTGTGAAGGTATTATGCCTTGGCTAACAAGTTTTCAGTTAACATCTGATGCTATAATAGGAATAAAATATGTGAAGTGTGGGCTTATTTTAGACATTTCATATATTCTGAGATCATCCTCTCTTATCTGGAATCTCAGACCCATAGGAATCCTTAGAGAGTAGCTGGCTTCTGCGAGGTATTTTCTAGATTTCGAAAATCCTAATAGAAACTGTTTATTCCCTTTGCTTATTAACTCCTTGCTAATTACAACAAGTTTCTTTGGCAGTGGTTGAAATTATACCAGCTCAATAATATACACAATCACAGGCTGGTGTGACATTACTAAACTAAATATCTATCTTATGTATAGATTAGGAGAATGATTATGATTCTATTACTAAATGCAGTTTAGCAGACAAAGATTTCAAAATGTCAGATCTGGGGTACCTGGGTGGCTCAGTTGCTTAAGCCTCTGCCTTTGGCTCAGGTCATGATCTCAGGGTCCTGGGATCGAGCCCCACATTGGGCTCCTTGCTTGGTGGAGAGCATACTTCTCCCTCTCCTGCTCCCCCTGCTTGTGCTCTGTCTCTCTTTCAAATAAATAAAATCTTAAAAAAAAAAAAAAAAAAGTCAGATCTGGGCAGCCCCGGTGGCGCAGCAGTTTAGCGCCACCTGCAGCCTGGGGTGTGATCTGGAGACCAGGGATAGAGTCCCACATCCGGCTCCTTGCATGGAGCCTGCCTCTCTCTCTCTCTGTGTCTCTCATGAATAAATAAACAAAATCTTAAAAAAAAAAAAAAAGTCAGATCTATGAGAAAAAAAACAATGCAGAGAACTCCAATTTGAAAATTGGAGACCACTACATTTTGAGAACCCCTTCTACTGTGAAGGCTTTTGGGGAATGGGGAAGAGACTACTGCCAAAATGAGTGAGGAAGAGAGACTCAAGAATCACAAGAATCATAAAACAAGAATGGGGAGTATCCAAAACAAACTCATGACTACTTTGCTGGCCTCTACAAATCCTCTTTTGAAACCTCAGAAACACGGGCCGCTGTAGCAGCTTCCATTTCTTGGGTCATAGTGCCCTCGTCTGGGTTGCTGATGTCACTACTCTTCTGGCACTTGACTCAAAACATTTGCAAAGTAATTGGCTAGAGGAACTGTATGATCTCTTTCCAAAGGTTAAAGTTAAAAAGCTTTTTTTCCAGAGGCTCTAGGCGAGCTCAGTTGGTGGAGTGTGGGACTCTTTAATCTTGAGGTTGTGAGTACAAGCCCCACGTTGGGTGGAGAGATTACTTAAAAATCTTAAAAAAAGCTTTTCCAAGTTTGAATTAGGAGCTACACATATACATAAATATACATGTGCTAAATGTGTTCAAAGATATGTTTTCTTCAAGGCTTTCAAAAACTGTCAAAACCCTGAGCTAAAGGTAGAAACGTAAGCAGCTCTGTATATCATCTTTGCAGTATTGCTATTTCAGCTGATCCTCCCAATTCCACTGCACTATCAGCGAGGAAGGCATGTTTGTCTCCATATTACTAACAAAAAAGACGAGGTTTTAGAGTTGAGTTGGCCGAGTCATGTAGCTAACAATGGCAGAAACATCCCTCCTGTTCCTTCTTTCATTTTCTCCTTACTTCTTAGTACTCTAAAACACTCATTTTTTTTTTTTTTTTTTTTTTTTTTTAGGATTTTATTTATTCCTGAGAGACAGAGAGAGAGAGGGGCAGAGACCCAGGCAGAGGGAGCAGCAGACTCCTCGCAGGGAGCCCGACATGGGACTCGATCCTGCGACTCCAGGATCAGGCCCTTGGCTGAAGGCGGCACTAAACTGCTGAGCCACCCGGGCTGCCCTAAAACACTCATTCAATCCTCCAGTATTCTTTAATCAACTATAATTGCTCCTTAAACTATTTCCATTTTATAACATTTCTAAACGATAGTTTGATTCCTTTTGTCATGTAAGATTGACCTGCAGATGCAAAATGACTTCTTAAACCTTCTACTTTTTAACTATACAGTTAAAAAAAAAATCTAGCCCTGTACATTTGAGAATGACCAGAGAGGGGTAAGTGTATAGTCCTATTATTTTCTTATCTTAAGGTCAAGGAGTTAAAGGAGCTGAAGCCAAAGGCAAGAGATATCTTTATAGATTCATGGAACAGCAATAGATGAAGCACCCCAACTCTTATATTTTAAGATACAAATTATATCAGTGACTCTGGTAAGATTTTTTGGAAAATGGTATGCCTAGGTGGCTCAGTGGTTGAGCATCTCCTTTTGGCTCAGGGCGTGATCCTGGAGTCCCGGGATCGAGTCCCACATGGGGCTCCCTGCAAGGAGCCTGCTTCTCTGCCTCTCTCTTCATGTTTCATGAATAAACAAACTCTTTGAAAAAGATATTTTGGAAAATAAAGATTCTAATAAGATTATATTTTGAATTACTTGTACATTTAAATTGTACTCCTCCATGTTCTCTCCAATACATTTTATCATCAGATACAAATCTCTATGAGAGTTAGAATAAGAGAAAAAAATTCTCCATTCCTTATCATCCCCAAGTTTTCCAGTTGATATCCATGGAGAGAACATAGTTACCCAAATTTGGTAGTACTCAGATTTTTTTTTTTACCGCTAAGCCACAGCTTGAAGTTACTTATGACTTGGTTTCAGACAGACAGAAGTTTGATTCAATAGGTTTGGGGCTTAGAAAGGCAGGGATTGTAGAGTGTCGTGAATCACAGGTCATTCTGAAAAATGTGAAAAGTGATTCTGAAACTTAATATACTTGTTGGTCTTGGGGCAGCCCCGGTGGTGCAGCGGTTTAGCGCCTGCCTTCGGCCCAGGGCCTGATCCTGGAGACTCAGGATCGAGTCCCACATCGGGCTCCCTGCATGGAGCCTGCTTCTCCCTCTGCCTGTTCTCTGTCTCTCATGAATAAAATCTTAAAAAATATATACATATATATACTTGTTAGTCTCTTGCATAGGGAGAACTGAACAGTCTAATCTTTCTATTCACATACCTGCCTGCTCTATGACCTCCAAATGAATGCCAAAAAAAAGAGCTAAAAACTTCATCTGTATTTGATCTTCGAACACAACACACTAACATCTGTTCCTATTACTATCCCACTTTCACACGTGACATTCTTTGCCACGTATACTCCTTGTCCCTGTGCACATCATACTCTGTTGTAGGTCTACAAAGACTTGGTTTATGATGCTAGAATTGGGGAGGGTGTGAGGAGATGGAAGGAAAGGGTCTAGAAAAGCACAGAACTAGAGATGCATAGCGGTTCTCCTACTCTAGGGAGAGATGCAGTTCTCCGCTATCATTAGTGGACACTCCTCCTTTTGTCCACAGTATGGATACTGAATCCATAAGGTAACTTTTACATCTCTAGCCCTTTGACTTCAGCCCAATCCACAACGGCGCAGGAGGCTTGTCGCCATCATTCGTGGTTCCAGCTATTAGGACCGAGCCCCAAACTCCCACATGTAGCAGGTTTGCGATTTTGCTAAGACACAAGTCTGATGCTCAGGATACAAGGCTGGTGTCTTAGACATTGTCGAGGGCACCGACATCTCAGGATGAGAGGACTCCCGGGAGAGTAGCTGGGTTGAACACATCGCGAAGAGCTGAAGAACGCCAACCAGCCAGCACCAGTGATGTGAGCAAGGTGTATGCTAAGGAATCAGCCTTCTGCATGAAGGTCATAAAGGTCTCCGCACTTTTGTAGGAGGTTTTAATTTAGGGGGCAGTCGATCATCATCCGTAAGATGAAATCCTTTAATTCACTCCAAGACATTGAGGCTTATTTTTTTTCGCTCTACGTTTCTCCAAGGGTTTCCCCCACTTATCCTTTGTGTCGTGGGAGCCCTCCACTCGGATTCCGAAGGGCTCTTAGGCCTAACAGCGTCACTAACGAGATGCCTGTCTCCAGGCGAGTAAATAAATCCGGTGGGAAGGGCGGAAAGGACCTAAAATGAACCAAGGGCAGACTTCGGGACTAAAAGCGAAGGCTGGAGGGATGACCGTCCAGCCCGACCTTCCCGCCAAGCCCCCCCAGCCCCGCGGCAGAGTCCGCGAAGCCCCTTCCCACCAGCACCCGCCCGCCGACCTCGCGCGGAGCCGTTAGACGTTAACGCCTCACCCAGCACTGGGCGGGCCGAGGCCTGCAGCTTCCGGCGGCGAAAGGCAGGGCGGGGCGGGGCGGCGCGGGGCGCTCCCCATCGGGCTCGTTCGGGTCTGTCCACGCGCCGGGGCGCCGCGCGCGACCCCTCTCCGCCGCGGTTGGGGTCCTCCCCTGCTGCGGAGTGCATGCTGGGAAGCCCCAGCGCGTCTCCGCGCCACCTATGATAAATGTTCGCAGTGGGGGAGGGGGGAGGGGGAAGGAAGGCGGGGGGGCGGGAAAAAAAAACGCGACTCATTTCGTGATAATCAGTTCGCGCGTCCTTTATGGAGATTGGCCAGCGTTTCGCCCTAACAGCCAATCGCTTTAGAGCAAGGGTGGGCCAGTCGAGATCACTCATTCTCATTGGCCGAGTCGTTGCAACGCAAAGGAAGAGTTTAAACCGGGAGTATCCGGGATTATTTTTCCCCGCCGTGCGGTGCGTGTCCCGGAAGTGACGTAGGCCCTGGCCGGGCGGCCGCCCTGCCCCCGCTTCCTTTCACGCTGCTGCCGCCCGTAGGTGGTTGTGGCCACCCAGCCCAGAAAGAGGCGGCGGCGGCGAATGATGCCTGGGAAACTCCTCTGGGGGGACATTATGGAGCTGGAGGCACCCTTGGAGGACACCGAAAACCAAAGGAAGGAGAGGCAAAAGGTGCGCTGAGGATGGGCCGCGCCTCCTTTTGGGCTGCGCCGGCTTGGGCGGGGAGGGGAGTTGTTTCCGATCTGATGGTCTGTCACAGCCCGGCCGGAGCATCCCAGGGCCTCCCCCAGCGCAGCCCGCGTCCCTTTGAGGTTGCTGCGGGCCCATTCCCACCTCCACACCCGTAACCTGGGTAAGAGCTGCGCTAGGCTTTGGCCCGGCCTCCCGCGCTCCTTCAGCCTTTCCCGTAGGACATGGGCAGCCTCCGGTTCCCATAGCTGCGGAATCTGTTCTTTCCTCTTCTTCCTTAAGCAGTGAGGCCTGTTATTTGTGTCTTGTCGGCCGTCGTAGAAGACTATTTGAAAAGATGGTTGCCTTGAATGTGTGTTACTTCTCCGTCACCCTGGCATGTGAGGAAGAATTTTTGGGGGAAAGCGGTTTTAGGTTTACATATCTCGATAGCTCCTGTTTAGAGGCTTAAGGAAAAGTGTCACAGCCAGCATTCCTAGGATTTGGCTGTGATGGAGATCGTGTGGGTTGTTTCACCAGTAGGCTTTACTGTTAGTATTTTCATTCAGTACACAAGTATTTAAGGAGCTTAATTTGTGCCACACTCTTTGCTGGCACCAAGAAGTTCGAATAAGTCCCTGTCCTCAAGGACCCTGTAAAGGAGTTGCAGAGAATTCTCATCCCAACCCTCCAAAAAATTTTTTGAAAATTAAAAAAAAAAAAAAAAAAAAAGGCCCAGAGGAAAGAAAACAGACCTTAGGTGGGTGAGGAGTTGGTATTTAAAGGCTGACATTTGGGAAAAAAAAAATTCTGTATAGCTCTAGAGAGCAGAACTTACCTTTCCTACTTTATCACCAACGTAAACTTTGCCATTAGCGTCAACCAGTTATTTTTTTTTATTATGGTGAAATCTACATGACATAAAATTAACTATTTTAAAGTGTAAGTTTTGTAGTATTAAGTACATTCGCATTGTTCTGTAGCTATCACTACCATTTATCTCTGGAACTTTTTCACCCTCTAACTGAAACTCTGTTCCCATTAAACACCAACTTCCCATTGCTCTCTCTCCTTTTTTTTTTTTTAATTTTTATTTATTTATGATAGTTACACACACAGAGAGAGAGAGAGAGGCAGAGACACAGGCAGAGGGAGAAGCAGGCTCCATGCACCAGGAGCCCGATGTGGGATTCGATCCTGGGTCTCCAGGATCGCGCCCTGGGCCAAAGGCAGGCGCCAAACCGCTGCGCCACCCAGGGATCCCTGCTCTCTCTCCTTGATCCCTGGAAATCATTTTACTTGCTGCCACTAGATAGCAAGTGGTGTTTGACTTCTCTAGATAATCTTATGTAAGTGCAATCATCAAGCAATTGCAATTTTAGCTCCTCAAATACTTCTCTCTTTTTGCATTCAAATCCTACCTATATCTGTCAAGGTTTAGTTTATGTGTCTATTCTAAACACTTGAGTGTTCACGTCCAGGAATCTCATTCTCCTTTGAAGTCTTGTTCCAGTGCTGTCTTTATCATTTGGTTGGCATCTATTATGTGCTTCTTTGTAAAGTTAGCTCACTTTTCCAGTGCGTGTCTTTCCCCACGTTTCCAAAGATTCTTGAGGGAGATGGCCATATATTTGTTTATCCATATTAATACATTCTTGTAAATTGGTGGCTTTCGCATTGTAGATCCTCCAGAAATGCTTGTTGATTTTCCTCTAACTATGAAAGATAACTAAAGATTGGGAAGCAGATTGGAGTATCAGCTAATAGAAACAACATTCAGGTAGTGATCTGGCATTGAGTTGAAGGTAACTGGCTTTGAATATGTGGAGCTATGGAGCTGAGCCCTAGGTTCTCAAACCTGGAGTGCAGGTGACGGAAGAAGCATAGAAGTATTTGCTGAAGCCATGAAAATGATTTGAAAGTATACAAGAAAATAGAGACTTAAGGAGCATCCACAGAAAGAAGGGGGAGAGGAACCATTGGAGCGGTAGATGTAAGAGGATAAGGAAGGAATATAGAGTGTCATGGAAGCTGAGAAAGTGGAGAGTGTCAAGCACTCTCTATGGATCTGATGTGGAATGATATATTTCATCACCTTGGGATATTGCTGGGCTGGATTTGAGGTCTCACTTTACCTTGCTTCATCTTCCTGAAGTGCAGGGCTCCAAAGCGATTCTAACCCCAAAGCTGGCTCTGTAAATAACCTTGCTTTCCTATAGAACTTATTGGTTTGGGGAGAACTTATTGGATATGGGCTAGTTCAGTTAATGAAAGATCAAATGTTACAACATGTAACTGCGTAACTTATGTTGATGTAAAGCTCTACTGTTTACAAAGCATTTTCGCGTTGTTTTCACAGCATCTCCTCCATTTTCTGCATGAGAAAATTGTATGTGAAAATACTCTGTAAAATTTATGTTCCAGTTTCATGGTTTCTGCTGTCACTAATAACTACTTTCTAATTTATATTGAACATTTGACCAAGTAATTCCGAAGTGTTAAATTGCCAAATAATTTCTTGCTGCTTGCAAATATTAAAACACTGGTCACCATTTAGACATTTTTTTTATAAATATGGATTTTTTAAAATTTTTATTTATTTATGATAGTCACACAGAGAAAGAGAGAGAGGCAGAGACATAGGCAGAGGGAGAAGCAGGCTCCATGCACCGGGAGCCCGACGTGGGATTCGATCCCGGGTCTCCAGGATCGCGCCCTGGGCCAAAGGCAGGCGCCAAACCGCTGCGCCACCCAGGGATCCCCACCATTTAGACATTTTAAAACTAAAGTTGTAGGGACGCCTGGGTGGCTCAGCGGTTAAGCGCTGCCTTCAGCCCAGGTCGTGATCCCAGAGTCCCAGGATCGAGTTCCACATCAGGCTCCCTGCATAGAGCCTGCTTCTCTCTCTGCCTATGTCTCTGCCTCTTTCTGTGTGTCTCTCATGAATAAATAAATAAAAATCTTTTAAAAAATAAAGTTGCAGAGTAGTCTTTTTTTTTTTAAGTTCTATTAATTAACTAAAAAAATTTTTTTAAATGTTTTGAGCATTACTAATATACTTGCCTTTCCATGGGAGTATAACAATTGGAACTTTGTGAATTATACAGTTTTGTTTGGTTTGTTTATTCTTTAACCTGTTAATTATCAAAGTTCAAAGAGGAAGCATGGTATGAAAAGAGCATGGGCTTTCAAATCTGACAGAGCTTGATTACTAGCACTTCCACTTGAAGGAAATCCTGCATGTGAGTCTTTGGCAAGTTACTTACTGCTAAGAACTTCTGTTTCCGCATCAGTAAAATGCCAAAGGTAATACAGGTTCGCTATCCCTTATCCAAAATCCTTGGGGATTTTTAGAAGGCTAACACCGCAGTAGGGTTTGGGGCCCCCAACCAATAATCAAACACCTTAAATTAATATCAAATATGAATATGCATACTAAGTGGAATAAATAAAGGTTATAAATAGCCTCACATCAGTTCGAGTCAAATTTTTCCACCAAGTGAGTTCAGGTTAGGTAAGGTTTTGTCTCCAAATAAGTTACCAAAAAACTTTCGGTTTTCAGAGCTTTATGGATATCGGAATTTCGGATAAGGGATTATGGACCTGTACTTCCCTTATAGGGTTGTTATGAAGATTTAAACAAGCCGAAAACACATTACACAATGCTGGGTAGGTACTCAATAATATTAACTATTTTTTTTTTCTCTTGGAGATATTAGAGGTCTTTGCTTTTTAATTTATAAATCTTGGGTTCTCATCTTTTTCTGAAAGGAGCTGTTTTGATTTCCCTTAAATCATGTAATGGGATCAGAGAGCGGTTAGAGGCTAAGTCTTGAGAATGCAAGAAAGGGGATAAGAAAGAAAGCAAGAGGTGAAACTTAGGCTCTGCATTAGCAACCAGTCTGGATTTCTACCAGGTAACTTTTCAAGGTGATGATAGATTGAGCTTTGCTGGTTGGGGAGTCACACTCTAAGTTCTCTAGAGTCTTAAGAAGAGATCTTGTGACCCTCTTGTCACTGCTTTTTTGTTTTTCACAGAGTGATAGAAGGAAATCAAGGCACCATTATGATTCAGATGAGAAATCGGAAACAAGAGAAAATGGTGTTGCAGATAACTTGGATGCTCCCAAGCCAAAAAAAGCTAAAATGAAAGAGAAGTTAAATGGAGACACTGAAGAAGGATGTAATAATAGACTTTCAGATGAATTTTCTAAATCTCATAAGTCAAGAAGAAAAGATCTGTCAAATGGAGATATTGATGAATATGAAAAAAAATCAAAGCGAGTGTCATCCTTAGATAGTTCTACTCATAAATCAAGTGATAATAAACTAGAGGAGGTATGGATACTTTTTGTTTTGCATTTGCCATTATCCTTGAAATACAGGCTAATTTGATTTTTAGACTATTTAGAATTGATTCCATAATGTTTCCTGCTTAGTGTCCAGTACCCTCAGTTGGACAGAGGAGTCTGTACAGCTGAAACCTGAGGAGCCTTTTTCTTTGTCCCTTGCTTTTGTCATTATATTGCCTTTTTCTTTGGGTGGAGGTGGGGAGGGGTGGTTAAATGTAAACCTTTCCTATACATTTGGGTCCCTAAATAGTTTTTCCAAATTGCTTATTGATGGTCACCTTCCTGCATTTCTTATGGTTATTTCAGTCCCTACCAGTACTCATGAATTGACATCTGACTTCCTGAAACAAGGTACATAAAGCCTCTTGACTTTGTGTATTTTGCCTTCTGCTTTTTCTGCTTCCGTAACAATAGCAACTTTAAGTTATCTTTAGATCTTGTTGTAACTCAATCTTAAAGCTGTTTACATATTTTTAAACAATGAAACATAAAAATGATCTGAAGAAGTTTGTTCTCCTGGATATCAACTTTCTGGGAGGTGTAGGAAACATACTTAGTATAGAATTTGCATTACTGGAGTTATTGCTTTTGCCTATACCTTTAAGAGTAGATATTTTCTTGGGCAGAATTTATTCAATTTATTCTTGCAGTTTTCCTCTAGCAGAATTCATAGATTTGCTTCGATATCATAAATTGTCAGAACTCAGGTCCTCCGAAAGAAACAACTTTGATAGTCTTAATAATTCTTGGTAGTTAATAATTCTTTATATTTTAAAATCTGATGGTTGCCGATAATTTAAATACATCTGAGCCTAATTTAATGTGTAATCTTCGGAGAACTTTGGGAAATCATGTTGAATTTTTGCCTTAAAATACGGTGTTTTTTTTAATTTGTGAATTTGATATTTGTCAGGAAGCACATATGTTAGAGAGTTGATCTAAATAAGGCCCTACAAATTTGTATTGCTAGTAGCAGAATGTACAGGGTTGCTTTTGCTCTGTTGGGATTTTACCTGGTACAATGCTCTGTTGGGATTTTACCTGGTACAATACTCTATTATAATAGACTTAATTATTATTTTGTTTTAGATCACATTCAGGTTCAGGAATTCTACTTTTAGGTATTTGTCCTCCTAAGGAGATAATCATGAAATGTACAGGGATGTATGAAACTCTTATCACTGTGTTATTGATAATAGTGAAAAATTTATGCATCCTAAATGATTGTAGGCATTTGGTTTTAGAAAATATGCTGTATCTATGCCATAGATGACATCTATCCTAAAGGTTGTAGAAGAATGTTAAAAAGGTATTCAGGGTGCGCCTGGCTGGCCCAGTCAGTAGGGCATGTAGCTCTTGATCTCAGGGTCATGAGTTCAAGCCCTATGTTGGGCATGGACCTACTTAAAAAAAATTAAAAAATAAAAACTTATTAAAAGGTATTCAGTGTATCTTATTAAATGGGAAAAGTATATTACAAAACAGTATATACAGCATTACCTTATTTTTATTTTAAAAATTTAGGAGTGCCTGGCTGGCCCAGTTGGTAGAGCATGTGATTTAATCTCAGGATCATGAGTTTGAGCCCCATGTTGGGTGTAGAGATTACTTTTAAATAAATAAATAAATTTATATATACATAGAGTAAGCTTTGGAGGAGTGTTTGTTTCGAATGTGGCTTTAGCTGACTGGATTATAGTTTTATTTCTGTTCATATGTGGCTTCTGTTCTACAATGAAAATGTGTTATTTTTGTAATAAAATTTTTTCTTTTAATCTTAAAAAGATAATAGTCTTGAAGCTTGCTTAAATGGTTTACAATTTCAGTTTGATATTGTGTCTTTTATCTGGTTCTCTGTTTGAAAACTGCTATTGTGTATGGTTCTGGAACTACTTTCTTTAAACACACCAATAATAAAGTTGACAGGTAGCTATATTGTCTTTGTTCTATATACACAGCGAGTAGTACATAAAGTTTTCAATAGATGTTAATTATGTCATGCTAACCTGTATATACGTGTTAAAGAAATTTTCCAGCTTATAGGAACTTTTCTTTGTTTTGGTGACCTAAAACATGCTTTTTAGAGCCATAGAACGACTTTTTAACATTTATTTTTAGAAATGATTTACTTTCCTCATTGTGTAATTTTTTGAGGCTGGTTTATAGGCTTCTGTTAGCCCTTGTAATTAATATTGTCTGTATCTATGAATATGACTTAGATGATCAAATAGCTCTTCTGTAATGTCTCAATCAAATGGAAAATATATTTTGATTTATGTAGTAGATATATTTCCAAAGGGAGTTTTATGTGTGAGTTAATCATTTTAAAATGTACTGTGGGAGAGGCGCCTGGGTGGCTCAGTCGGTTAAGTGTCCAACTCTTGATTTTGGCTTGTGTCATGATCTCATGAGTTGTGCGATTGAACCTGGCGTCTGGCTCTGCACTGGGCATGGAGCCTTTCTTAAGATTCTTTCTCCTTCCCTCTCCCTGTTCCCCTCCTCCCCCCACCCCTAAAAAAAAAGGAAAAAGAAGAAAAAATAATAAATGTACTGTGGGAGAGTGTATTGAGTAAACTTGCTATTTAAAGGGATACTTTTGAAATTAAAAGGATTTTCCACTAATTTATTGTGTAAGTTAATCTATACACTTTTTGCCTACTAACTAAAGTTGATTTGCTAGCTCATTCAGTAAAACAAACAAAAAAAAAGGTAAATGAATAAGATTCTAAATATCTAGCTGAATATGAACTATATTAGTTAGAACTTTGATTTCATTTTGACAGACCCTAACACGTGAACAGAAAGAAGGAGCCTTCTCCAATTTCCCTATTTCTGAAGAGACAATAAAGCTTCTAAAAGGTACTATGAATTTTAATGGAAATAAAACTGAAAATCTACAACTAGATTTTATAAAAATCTTTGCCTCTTCTGACCAAAAGGAGATATAGGAAGTATAAGAGAAATAGCTCTTCTTTAATTGCAGTTATTTCTACATCATCCTTTTTGGTACTCTGACCAGTTTTTAACTTTAAATAATTGTATGTATTTGTCAAAGATTTCAGACCAATTTTTTAAATTCCTCTTTGGGGTAGGAATAACTGTAAATGTCACTAGGTGGTGTATTTTTAGGCTGACATTGAGGAATCTGGATTGTCATTTTCAAATAAAAATATTTTTTCCTAATTTTAGCCTTAAATATATTTCAATGAAATCTCATTTTACAGGTCGAGGGGTATCATATCTCTTTCCTATTCAAGTTAAGACCTTTGGTCCTGTATATGAAGGAAAAGATTTAATTGCTCAAGCACGGACAGGAACAGGGAAGACATTTTCTTTTGCCATCCCCTTGATTGAAAGACTCCAAAGAAATCAAGAGACAATTAAAAAAAGCCGCTCACCAAAGGTAACCATTATAGGGAATAAAAGGTTTAAATAATACTCTAATGAAAAGGGAAAGAAGAGTATACTGATCTAAAATGCAAGTATCCCCAAGATAGAAAAGTAGCTCTGTGGCATAAAGTAAAAATTTAGGTCCGACAGCAAAAATTAGTTGATTTTTAACATAAATCTCAAGTAAAGCTGAATGAAGTGTAGGTATTGCATATGAATGTAATGTATATGGATCCATAGATGTCTTTGATAAGTGTATATTATGAAGCCAGCATGCCTAATTTTAGGTATATGTATAGTGAGTATATTTAGTGACCTTTCTTCTTTTTTTTTTTCAGTCTTGATCTTTGCTTTTAAACAATGAATTTGCTAAAGAGGTATTCACTTATTTAGTCATTCAGTTATTAATATCATTTGTTTCACTGGTTGACTTTGTATGAAGAGATTAAAGAAATGATTTTGCTAGGCCCTATGTGATTGAGGTACTGGAGATCTGTCTTAATTTATAAGTAGTAGAGAACAGAGAGGACCTAGTGAAATACTAGCCTAAAATTTGGTGTTTTCAGAACCTATAGTCACTTTAAGGTCAATAAAGTGAAGAAGAAAAATATCAGTATCAGTATTTGAACAGATATGTGAGTAAAAGTAATTTGTTCTTTGAGACTCCTAAATGGTATTGCACTATGCAAGTAAATTCATTTATGAGTGTAATTAAGACATAATGGTCTTGGAACAGGTTGGCCAACAGGATAAACCTTTTTTATTTTATTTTATTTTTTTAAGGAAAAACCTTTTTTTAGAGAGTTTTGATTCTTAGGTGAAATTAGGAAAGACTGCAAATAATAGAAAATAGGACACATTTCCAATACTGCCTTAAAAAGCTTTTATGCTAGAAGGACATTATTGGAGATTCCAGCTCCACTACTTCTAGGCAAAACTCTTAACTTCTTTAATAATTAGGTTCCTCTAATGTCACCTCACAGGGTTTTTGTGAGGATTGAATTATGTAATTCTCATAAAGCACTAGTTCTGTGCCAGGCACTGTTTGAAGTATAAGGAATACAGTAACTTAAATTAATATAAATCCCTGCTTTCATGGAACTAATATTTTAGTGGGTAAGATAGACAATAAATGGATAAGTAAAATAGAAATATTTTATATGACATAAATGCTAAAGAGAAGTAATTAAGGGAATAGTGTGACGCATATGAAAGGAGGGTTAAAAACCTCATTGAGAAAGTGAATTTTGAAAAGACACCTGAAGGAAGAGGGGAGGGTATTATAAATATAAGCTATTGTTCTAGTTGTCATTTGTGCTGTCTCTATTTTTTTTAATTAATTTGTGTGTGTGTACTCTGTCTTTAAATATTATGACTTTAATGTTGAGATTCCTAGTTTTAAATGCACTTAAAAAAAAGCCTTCTCAGTTTGAACTTAGATGTCTTTAGAAAAGTATCTTTTTATTTTTTAAACCTCTTGCTTAGGTTCTTGTTTTGGCTCCTACAAGGGAACTGGCAAACCAAGTAGCCAAAGACTTCAAAGATATCACTAGGAAACTCAGTGTGGCATGTTTTTATGGTGGAACATCCTATCAAAGCCAAAGTGAGTAAATATGTCTCATAGTAGTGCAAAGATGTATTTGCTACTTAAATCTGAAGAAATGGTGTGAAAATGTATATTTGATTTTTATGTATTACTGATATTTCTCTCCTCTCACAGTTAATCATATTCGAAATGGTATTGACATCTTGGTGGGGACTCCTGGTCGTATCAAAGACCATCTGCAGAGCGGCCGATTAGATCTTTCTAAACTGCGCCATGTTGTGCTTGATGAAGTGGATCAAATGTTAGATTTAGGTTTTGCTGAACAAGTTGAAGATATTATCCATGAATCCTACAAAACTGGTATATCCTAATTCAAAATAAAAACATTAGCAATTATAGTCAGTGGTTAGATTTACTAACTCATTTTACTGATTTCTTTGCTCATTGTCACTCCTTAAATTCTCACCTTTTTTCTGAGTTCAGTTTTCTTCATATTTTCCCCCAGTTTTGAAAATTGAAGGTTTTAATAATTATAATTAGTTTGTATGTTCAAATTTACCCCAAATTTTGAATTTTTTATGATTTCTTTGAAGTTTGTGGGGGGATTTTCAAAATCTGACTACATCATGGATATTAAGAAAGCATTTGATTTCTTTTTGTTTATTTGAGATTCTGAAGACAATCCTCAGACTTTACTTTTTTCTGCAACTTGCCCACAGTGGGTATACAAAGTTGCAAAAAAATACATGAAATCCAGATACGAACAGGTTGACCTTGTTGGAAAAATGACTCAAAAGGCTGCAACTACTGTGGAAGTAAGTAGCTTTCCAGCATGATAGATTGTAGCTTTTAGTTGGTATTTGAAATTTGTTGAAGCTAAATTTAAGTTTTGGGTACTAGTTCAGGCTACATCTTTCCTTTCTGCCTTTAGTCCATAAGATACCTGTGTACTTCTATGGTCTGTGGCTGAGCAGTAGAATAGAATAAGTTGGAGAAGAAAAGTATGTTGACAGACACGTCCTAACAGGTGATACACAAGCAGCTGTAGAGATAGACTTAAAGTATTGTATAAAGGGACAGAGGAGGCAGTTTATATCAATTTGAAGAGAACAGTGTGGGGGTAATATGTTAAAACTTAGGTGAAAAAGTTAGATCTCCATCTTATTCCCTATACCAAGAAAATTCTCAAAATAATTTTTTTTTTTTTTAAGATTTGAGAGAACATATGAGCGCACAGGGTAGGGAAAGAGGCAGCGGAAGAGAGAGTCACAAGCAGACTCTGCATTGAGCACCAGGCTTGACACAGGGCACACAAGTAGGGGGAGAAGCAAAAGGAGAGGGATAAACAGACTCCTAGCTTATCTGGGATAGGGCTGCCTAGCTCTACCTGGCTTGATCTCAGGACCCTGGGATCATGACCTGAGCTGAAAGCAGATGCTTAACTGACTGAGCCATCCAGGTACCCCTTAGAGATTTTATTTTTTAAGTAATCTCTACACCCAACATGGGGCTCAAACTCACAACCTCAGAATCAAGAATTGCATGCTCCATCAACTGAACCAGCCCAGCACCCCTCCCCTAACATTTTATCATGAAAATTTTCAAACACTGGAAAGTCAAAAGGGAATACTCATATAGCCACCAGTTAGATCCTACTGTTAATATTTTACTATATTTCTCACATATCTACCTATCCTTATATTCATTTTATTTTTTTGATTCCTTTCATATTGCAGAAATGAGCACAGTTCCTCATAAGTACTTTAGCAGATGTATTGTTAACTAGAGTTCAATATTTACAATTTTTTTTTTTAAGACTTGAGAGAGAACAAACAATGGGGAGGGGCAGAAGGAGAGAGAGAGAGAGAAGCAGACTCCCTGCTGAGCAGAAAACCCAACAAGGGGGCTTGATTCCAGGACCCCGGGATCACTTCATCACCCCTAAAGGAAACTCTGTAACAATGAAGCAGTTAGTTCCTCCCCATTTTCTCATTTCCTAGCCCCCGCATCGCCAATGTTTCTGTCCCTAGGGACTTAACTTGGTATCTTGGATACTTCATAGAGATGTAATCATACAATATGTGACTTTTTTGTGTTGGGTTTTGAGGGTCATAAAATATAATTTTTAAAGGTAAGATTTACATACAGAAAGCCCAGAATTTTAAGTACATTTTTTTAGTTTTGACAAATTTATACATGTGTATAACCCAAGCCCCTACAAAACAAATATTACCATCATCCCAAAAATTTGCCTCGTGCCCCGTTCAGTCAAGTCCCCCATCCAGGGATAGCCACTATCCTGATTTATTTCATTTATTTATTTAAGATTTTATCTGTTTATTCATGAGAGACAGAGAGGCAGAGACATAGGCAGAGGGAGAAGCAGGCTCCATGCAGGGAGCCTGATGTGGGACTCAATCCCGGGACTCCAGGATCAGATCACGCCCGGGCGGAAGGGAGGCGCTCAAACACTGAACCACCCAGGCGTCCCTTTCCTTTTATTTTTCTAAGTGGGCGTAGAGCCTATTTAAAAATGTGGGGCTTAAATTCATGACCCTGTGATTGAGACCTGAGGTAAGGTCAAGAATTGGCCGCTTAACTGATTGAGCCACCCAGGCACTATTGTTCTGATTTTTTTTCCTACTGTATGTTAGTTTTGCCTATTCTAGAACTTGATATAAATGAAATCCTACTGTGTGTATTCTCTTTCTGTAAGACTTCACTTACCTAACATATGTTTTGAGATTAATCCATATGGTTGCATGTGTAAGTAGTCCTTTTAATTATGGAATAGTATTATATTGTATAAATATACTACAATTTGTTTATCCTTTCACCTATTGATGGCCATTTGTATATTGTTTTTAAATGGAGTTGGGGAGAATTGTCTTACTGTGTGCCAAAAAGGCCAATTCTTGAACGGGTAGAAAAAAATATACGAGAGAAATCTTTTTCACTAATTTTAATGAAATAGATACTTGGTATTTTCTTTCCTCAAAGCATTTGGCCATCCAGTGCCATTGGTCTCAGAGGCCAGCAGTTATTGGAGACGTCCTTCAAGTCTACAGTGGGTCTGAAGGGCGGGCTATTATTTTCTGTGAGACCAAAAAGAATGTAACTGAAATGGCTATGAATCCACACATAAAACAGGTAAGTCTTCTCTCACGCTTTCTCTAATTGACATTATAGGGTTGACTCAATGAATAAAAATACTGTCCATTGCGAGCTAGGTTTGATAGTTTTTTTGTTTTGTTTGTTTTTGAGAGAGAAGAGAGAGGGGAGAGAACATGGAGGGAGTGAGATAGAGAATCCCAAGCAGGCCCTATGCCCGGTGTGGAGCCCAACTTGGGGCTTGATCTCACGACCTGTGATCTCACGACCTGAGATCATGACCTGAACTGAAATCAAGAGTCAGACTCTGCTTAACCAACTGAGCCACCCAGGTGCCTCAAGATAGTCATTTTTAGAATTGAGTCTAATTGAGAAGGAAGCTGTAGCCAGTCTATCATGATCTTTTAAGTCAGGATAGAAGTCTACCCATTTTCACAAGACGACTTTTTTGCATAATGTTATCTTGAAAATATAAAGGTTGGAACAAAATAAGTTTCTATGGGTAAGAGGAGGTAGTATTTTAAAGCTGTGTTATAAAATGAATTACAATTATTTATTGAATGAATGGATCAGAATACTAAGGCCTTATCTCTTTTTTCTTTTAACTTTTTATAATAGAAAATTTTAAATATATACAGAAGTTGACAGTGTAATGAACCCCTGTGTATTCAAACTCCAGTTGCAACAATTACCTTACTTCGTCCATATGCCCACTCACTTCCTGCTCCTGAATTATTCTGATAAAAACCCTAGTTAACATATTACATCCATAAATATTTGGGTATATGTCCCTAAAAGAAAATAATGTTTTTTTTTTTTTTAATTTTTATTTATTTATGATAGTCAGAGAGAGAGGCAGAGACATAGGCAGAGGGAGAAGCAGGCTCCATGCACCGGGAGCCCGATGTGGGATTCGATCCCGGGTCTCCAGGATCGCGCCCTGGGCCAAAGGCAGGCGCCAAACCGCTGCGCCACCCAGGGATCCCCCAATAATAGTTTTTTTTTTTAAACTCAATACCACATTTAAAAATTAACAGCAAGTAATATCTTCAAATGTCAGTTAGTGTTCAGATCAATTGCCTCATGACTGCTTTTTTCTTTTACAGTTTTTGTCTTGAATCTGGATCCAAATAAGATTCATAAATTGTATGATTTCATTAAATCTCTTTAATATATGGATTCCTTCCTCATCTGTTTTTTTTCTCGTAGCTTTTTAAAATTGTTTAAGAAACTAAGTTTTCATAGTCTAGAGTATTACTTCCTTGTGGAATCATTTAACATATTCCTCTGTTTTCTGTATTTCCTGAAAATTCAAGTTCGTTTGTTTATTTAGGGCAAAACTAGGTCATAGATGTATATAATGTGTAGTTCTTGCCTTTTTTTTGATACTAATTAACATCCATTGATAGTAATGCTATCAATTCTATGTCAATGTCTGTCCGATCATTTGTGTTGTTGGTGACTTGTTACTTAGTAGATTCCTGAAGAAGGGCTATGGAAATCATACTGCCTATTGATAATGGCATGTTTGTAAATATATACCCAAAAACCATTGGGCTGGATATTAAAATTCTTGGTTCATATTTTCTTACCTTCAATATCTTAAATATATTTGCCATTGTTTTTTGAGTAAAGCATTTTATAAAAAGTTTCATTCCAGTCTGATTTTGTTTCCTTGTAAGATTTTGCCTTGGGCAGCCCGGGTGGCTCAGCGGTTTAGCTGAAGGCGGCCCAGGGCCTGATCCTGGAGACCTGGGATGGAGTTCTGCGTCAGGCTCCCTTCATGGAGTCTGCTTCTCCCTCTGCCACACTGTGTCTCTGCCTCTCTCTCTCTCTCTCTCTCTCTCTCTCTCTCTCTCTCTCATGAATAAATAAATTTCTTTTTTTTAAAAAGAGATTTTGCCTTTAGGCAAAAGATTTTTTAAATTTTTCTTTAAAAATCAGGGGCTTCTGGGTGGCTCAGTTGGTTAAGCATCTGACTCTTGGTTTCTGCTCAGGTTCTATCTTATGTGGTTGTGAGATAGAGCCCCACATTAGGCTCCGCACTATTTTATTAGAATGTTATTTGGCATGTTCATGGTCATTTTTTGCAGGTGCACTGTAGCTTCAAATATATTCTTTAATATTTCAGCAAAATTATCTTGAATTATAATATTTTGGTATTTGGTTTGATTGCTTTTTTTTCTTTTTTTCTTTAGGAACTCTGTGCATGTTGATTTCTTTTTTTTCCTCTCTTCTTTGTTACCTTATCTCAAATCCCTTTCATCTCTTTATTTCACTTTCTCAAGATTTCCTATTTTTAAGGCATTAGTTCTTTTTTTTTTTTTTTTAAGATTTTATTAATTCATTCGTGAGAGACAGAGACACAGGCAGAGGGAGAAGCAGGCTCCATGCAGGGAGCGTGACGTGGGACTGGATCCTGGGTCTCCAGGATCACGCCCTGGGCCGAAGGTGGCGCTAAACCGCTGAGCCACCCAGGGATCCCCTAAGGCATTAGTTCTTAATGTTTGTTCAATCTTGTATTCCCTCCGATAAAGTTATCATTTGTGAAAAGTCTTTATTTCTACTTCTTTGTTGAGTCATTTCATCTTATTGAGTCATTTCACCTCATTTTTTTGTTTTTCTCATTTTGACTTTTCTTGTTTTTTTTCATATATCATTTAAAAATTTCTCTTAGCTTGGGGTGCCTGGGTGACTCAGTCTGTTAAGCATCTGCCTTCAACTTGGGTCATGATCCTAGGGTTCTGGGATCAAGCCTTGCATCAGGCTCCCTGCTCAGCGAAGAGCCTGCTTCTCCCTCTTCCTCTGCATCTCCCTGTTTGTGCAGTCTCTCTCTCTGTCTCCCAAAGAAATAAAATCTTAAAAAATTCCTCTTGGCTTATTCAGAAATATAATGCTATACTTTTCATTTGCTCTGTGGGCATGCCTTTCTAGAGCTCTTTCATGATTTATGGGTTTATTCTGCCTATTTTTTTCTGTCTCTGATTACTTTTTGTGGGATTCAACTGCGATTTTTTTTTAAGTTTTTCAGCTTAATTCCAGTATAGTTTTTTTTTTTAATTTTATTTATTTATTCATGAGAGACACAGAGACAGGTAGAGACAAAGGCAGAGGGAGAAGCAGGCTCCCTGCCAGGATCATGCCCTGAGCCGAAGGGAGGCACTCAACTGTTGAGCCACCCAGGCATCCCAATTCCAGTATAGTTAACATACAGTGTTATATTAGTTCTAGGTATACAGTAAAGTGATTCACCAATTCTATACATTACTTCGTGTGCTCATCATGATGAGTGTACTTTTTAATCCACATCACCTGTTTCACCCCTCTGTCTTCCCCTCTGGTGACCATCTGTTTGTTCTCTCTTAAGTATAGGTAAGAGTGTGTTCAGTGGTTTATCTTTCTCCCTTTTTTGTTTTTTCCTTTGTTTGTTTTGTTTCTTAAATTCCATGTATGAGTAAAATCATATTTGTCCTTCTCTGACTTATTTCACGTAGCATTATGCTCTCTACTCCACCATGTTGCAAATGGCAACAAGATTTTGTTCTTTTTTTTATGGCTAAGTAATATTTTATTGTATATGCATACCATATCTTCTTTATTTATTCATCTGTCAGTGGACACTTGGGCTGCTTCCATGGTTTGGCTGTTGTAAATAGTGCTGCAGTAAACATAAGGATGCATGTATCCCTTTGAATTAGTGTTTTGTATTTTTGAGGTGAATATCCAGTAGTGCAATTACTGGATCATAGGGTAGTTCTATTTTTAACTTTTAAGGGAACCTCTATACTGTTTTCCACAATGGCTGTGCCAGTTTGTGTTCCCACTAATAGTGGAACACAAGGGTTCCATTTTCTGTACATCCTCCCCATACTTGCCGTTTCTTTGTTTTTGATTTTAGCCATTCTGACAGGTGTATGGTGATATCTCATTGTAATTTTGATTTGCATCTCCCTGGTGGTGAGTGACATTAAGCATCTTTTCATGTATCTGTTGAACATCTGTATGTCTGTTCATGTCTTCTGCCCATTTTTTAATTGGATTTCTGTGAAGAGTGTGTGTGTGTGTGTTGGAAACTGATCTTTTGTGTTCCTCATTTTTAGGTGAAATTAATCTTTTAAGATTTGATTTTTAAATTATCTCTACACTCAACTTGGGGCTCAAACTCACAACCCTAAGATCAGGAATCACATGCTCTACTGACTAAGCCAGCCAGACACCCCTTGGGTGAGGTTAATCTTTATGAACTTTAAATGGGGAGGCATGGGTCAGAATAGTTTTCAAGCCTCACAGGTCTAGAGCTACTTCTTCTGTTAGTGTTTGGTGTGTAAATTATATCTCAATAAAGCTGTTTAAAAAAAAATCTCCTGCTTTGTGAGCTCTGGCTGTCTTTTCCCTCACTTTTCTCTGAATCTTCTTTTTTTTTTAAAAATTTTTTTTTTATTTATTTACGATAGTCATACAGAGAGAGAGGCAGAGACACAGGCGGAGGGAGAAACAGGCTCCATGCACCGGGAGCCTGATGTGGGATTCGATCCCGGGTCTCCAGGATCGCGCCCTGGGCCAAAGGCAGGCGCCAAACCGCTGCGCCACCCAGGGATCCCTTATCTGAATCTTCTATTCCTTTGCTTCTGTGATCCCTGGCATCCTCAGTTTGGATCCTAGCTCCAGCTCTTTCTTCTCACTGTGAGCCTTTTTGTTCTGGCAAGGAAGCACTGACTTGTTAGTTTTGAAAGTTCATAAGGGTCCAGACTTCTCCAGCTTCCTTCAGACCTTACCTCTCGATCCTCACAATCACCCTTCCATGTACAAAGAAACGCTCCTGGTTTCAACTGCTATCCTCAAATTGGCCCGTTGTGCTTTTTGAGGAGTATGTGTTCTTAGGACCAGGAAACACCCCCCCCTCCCCCCGCCATATATACAGGTCTTGTCCCTACCTGCTCATGTTTTGGAAATCGTGAAAATACTTGTCTTTTTTGTTGTAGATGTCTGTGGATTTTTAAGTTTACTATCCTAATTGCTCTGTTTTTATGTGGGAAGTGGAAGTTCAAAGACTGTGCTGTCAACATCTTTCCCATCGTTTTAACTAACTATATAGTTTTAGTTTTGTATACAGTATACATGGATGCTAAATAGTGACAGTGATAGAGGGTAGTTGATTTACCTTTCTACCTTTCTTGTTACTTCTTTATTTTTTAATTTTAGAAAAGATTTTACTTATTTATTTGAGAGAAGAGCATGAGCAGGGAGAGGGGCAGAGGGAGAAGAAGCAGGGTGCCTGACTTGGAGCTCCATCCTGGGACTCTGGGATCATGACCTGAGCCAAAGGCAGATGCTTAACTGAGCAACCCAGGCACCCCTCCTGTCACTGCTTTAGAATACTCAGCAGCAGCAGTGTTGCAGAAGTTATTGTTTTATCTCATAGGGAGAACTTGCCTTGCTGACTTCTTGTTCAAACTTTAAATCCTGGCATTCCTCACAGATCTAACCTCTGTATTTGTTTCTTCTCACTCAATGTATTCTTCGTGAGCGTAGTGATTAATATCACAGACTTTGGAGTAGAACATATTAGGGTTTATTTTTTATTTTTTTAAACAGTTTTTTATTTTTTTATTTATTTATGACAGTCACACAGATAGAGAGAGAGAGGCAGAGACACAGGCAGAGGGAGAAGCAGGCTCCATGCACCGGGAGCCCGATGTGGGATTCGATCCCGGGTCTCCAGGATCGCGCCCTGGGCCAAAGGCAGGCACTAAACCGCTGTGCCACCCAGGGATCCCCATATTAGGGTTTAAATCCCAGTTGTATTACTTGCTGTGTAACCTTAAGCAAGTCACTTCATGTTTCTTTGCCCATGTTTCCCTTTTAAAAAGTGATATTAATGGGGCACTTGGTCAGTTGGTTAAGCATCCAGCTCTTGATTACAGCTCAGGTCATGATCTCAGGGTGGTGGGATCGTGCCTCTCCTGGGCTCCTTTTTACCTACTAGTTCCTTATTATCTGTCAGGTCTCACCTTCAGTGCTGCCTTCCCCTTAAACAAAGTTTCCCTCTTAAGTATTCCAGTAGCACTCTGCATCTGGTTATAGTACATACCATACTGTAGTGAGAATGCCTGTCAACTTGACTCTTCCAGGGCTGTTTCTTTATGATTGTTCCAGAATCTGGTACATAATAAGTACTTGGTGAATTCACTTATGAATGCATTAGGCTTAGTTACTAAGGTTTGGGTATGGTAAGGGTTAAATCATTGTTATGAACTTTTAAAATATTAAAAAAAATTTTTTTAGAGATTTTATTTATTTTAGAGCAAGCAGGAAGGGCAGAATGAGAGGGAGAAAGAGTCTCAAGCAGACTGCACTGAGCACAGAGCCTGATGTGGGGCTTAACCACAGGACCCTGAGATCATGACCTGAGTGGAAACCAAGAGTCAGCCACTCAGCCAACTGTGCCACCCAGGCTCCCCTGAACTTTTGAATTTTATTTATTTATTTATTTATTTATTTATTTATTTATTTATTTATTTATTTATTTAAAAGATTTTGTTTTTATTTATTCATGAGAAACACAGAGAGAGAAAGTGAGAGCAGCAAAGGGAGAAGAAGGCTCCATGCAGGGAACCTGACATGGGACTCAGTCCCGGGTCTCTGGGATCAGGCCCTGGGCTGAAGGCAGCGCTAAACCGCTGAGCCACCCGGGCTGCCCGAACTTTTGAATTTTTATTTTTTTAAGATAGATAGATAGATAGATAGATAGATAGATAGATAGATAGATAGATTTATTTATTTATTTATTTATTTATTTATTTATTTATTTATTTATGATAGACATAGAGAGAGAGAGAGAAGCAGAGACACAGGAGGAGGGAGAAGCAGGCTCCATGCAGGGAGCCTGACGTGGGACTCGATCCTGGGACCCCAGGATCACGCCCTGGGCCAAAGGCAGGCGCCAAACCCCTGAGCCACCCAGGTATCCCCCCAAACGTTTGAATTTTAATAGTGGCTAGAATACCAGAAAATTTGTTTATAACAGGAAAATTATTTTCAGTAGAATAAAAGATAATATATAAATTGTATAAAAATAGGTTCAGCTTTGCTAAATATTACAGAAATGTAAATTAAGACAACATTAGGAAATCATTTTTGCCTCTTTAGCTTCGCAAAGGTTATAATGATTCATAATATATGGAGTATGTAGGGTAAGATGAAACAGACTCATAAATGTTGAAGAGTAAATGGGCGCAACCTTTTTTATTAATGTATTTACTTACATAATCTCTGTACTCAACATGGTGCTCGAACTCATGACCCTGAGATTGACAGTTGCATGCTCTTGCCGCTGAGCCAGCCACTGTGCCCCTTTCCCCAAAATCTCTTCTTATGGGATCCCTCGGTGGCGCAGTGGTTTGGCGCCTGCCTTTGGCCCAGGGCGCGATCCTGGAGACCCGGGATCGAGTCCCACGTCGGGCTTCCGGTGCATGGAGCCTGCTTCTCCCTCTGCCTGTGTCTCTGCCTCTCTCTCTCTGTGTGACTATCATAACTAAATTAAAAAATTAAAAAAAAATAAAAAAAAAAACCTCTTCTTACAATACAGTTTTGCAGTCACTGTTAAAATGTTAAATGTTCATGATTTTTGACCCAGAAATTCACCTTCTAGATATGTGTCCTACTGAAATACACATATACTAAGGGGTCCAGAGACATAAGTATAATGTTGTTCCTTCTGGTATTGTTCCTAAAGGTGAAAACTTAGATATGACTCAAATGGTCATCAATAGGATATTGCTGAAATAAATGGTACTACATCCATATGATGAAAAGGATTTAAAAAAATGAAGTAGAGTTTTATCTATAGATGTGGAAAAATGGCTAAGAAAATTTGTAGAGCAGGCTTCAAAACAGTGCTATTATATGGTATCCCATTTTATAAGTAAATACATAAAATTACAGTGTATGCTGTTTCATGTGGATTGTGTGTGGGTGGGTTTTTTGTTTATCTGGTTTTTGTTTTTTAATATCTGGAGTAGGGGACGCCTGGGTGGCCAGAAGTTGAGTGTCTGCTATCGGCTCAGGGTATGATCCTGGGTCTGGGAATCAAGTCCCGCATTGGGCTCCCTGCGAGGAATCTGCTTCTCCCTCTGCCTGTGTCTCTGCTTCTCTCTGTCTGTCTCATGAAAAAAAAAAAAATCTTAAAAAAAAATATCTGGAGTAATATTCACCAAACTGTTAGTGAATTATTAGGAGGCTAATATTAAGGAAAGCTTTTACATTTTGTGTTAGATATTTTCTGTAATTTTTGATCTTTTTGAACAATAAACATACATTGCTATAATGATCAGAAAATAAGAACATTGGGGCACCTGGTTTGGCTCAGTCAGTGGAACATCCAATTCTAGATTTTGGACTCAAAACATTTGAGTCCCATGTTGGGTATAGAGATTACTTAAAAAAAAAAAAAGATTAAAAATAACACAGACTGCATGGTGTTAGTGCACTGTCAATTCCAAGTGTGAGTTGTGCCTTTTCCTTTTTTCAAATAGAATGCCCAGTGTTTACATGGAGACATTGCACAGTCACAAAGAGAAATTACACTGAAAGGCTTCAGAGAAGGTAGTTTTAAAGTTTTGGTGGCAACCAATGTGGCTGCTCGTGGTTTGGACATTCCTGAGGTTGACCTAGTGATTCAAAGTTCTCCTCCCCAGGTAAGAAATAAGATTTTATTTAGGGAATACAAGAATAGCTGTGTAAATTGCCATTTTATTTATAAGATATTGCTTGGGATATGAAAAATATGTTATCTGTTCTTGCTGTTAGCCTTTTTTTTTATTTATTAATGCAGTGTTAAAGTGGTCAGAATCTGATGCCTTAGCAAATGATTCACTTCTTTATTTGGAATTGAAGCATGGAATCATACAAGGGGATTATAAAAAATTGTCACATAAAGAGCCCTGGGATGAGGTGGATAAAAAGATTTTAACTGCTATTCCTTTTATTAAAAAATTTTAGTGTAAAAGTTCTTTGGGTTGTTGAAAGAGCAATAGATTGAAATAAAAATATTATTATTGGTACTAGTAGTTTTGCTATTGTTAGCTTTATTATTTGGATGTTGCAATGACTGTGTAACTTGTAAGATTTCTTTTTTTTTTTTGCTAGATTTTTAAAAAAATATTGCCTCTTTTATTTTCAGGATGTTGAGTCCTATATTCATCGTTCTGGACGCACAGGTAGAGCTGGCCGGACAGGGATTTGCATATGTTTTTATCAACCAAGAGAAAGAGGTCAACTAAGATATGTGGAGCAAAAAGCAGTAAGTACAGTTAAATTATTTCAGACTTATTATCTAAACGGTGCCATAGAAAAGAGCACTTTTTATATTTGTTGTCACAAATAGATCCTTATAACTTTTCTCAGTTTAAGCTGCATTTGGATGTGAAGCATGTGGAGAGCTAAATTTATATGAGCTGCAAGACTTTGTTTTGATACAGCTTTTATTGTGAAGACAGAAGAGCTGACTTTCTCATTTTTCCCTTGAATTTCTCCCTTGATTCTAAAATCAGAAGTGCATTGTGATTTCAGTATCTCATAGTCCAGCTTTGTAAAAGGATGACTGTGCCATAGTCTTGGTGTATTTGTTAATTTTTATTGAATAATGATACAATGGCCAGTTTCTATAAGAAATTATATACAATTTTTGTGGCCTGTATTTTCTTGTGTGTGGTATTTTACATTTTTCCCTGTTTTCATGATTCGTGTTTTAAACACTATTTCACCTAGTTTGTGAAATGAGATAGGGTAATAAAAAAAGTTGATAGAGGTAATCAGCATCTTACTTCCTTTTTTGGAATCAGTTTTATTTTGCAAGTGAAATTTCATGATTGTAACTAAGAGCAATTAAATTTTTTTTTCTCTTCCTAGAATTTGTAATTGATTTGTTAGAAAAAGCAGGTCTTTTGATCTACTGGGGCTTGGAAATCTTTAAGTCCAAGAAATGGAAATTCAACAAACTATATGAATTTAGGAATTAATTGTAAAGACTTCCATTTTTCTTTAATGTAATTCTTTCATTTTCAGGGAATTACTTTTAAACGTGTAGGTGTTCCTTCTACAATGGATTTAGTTAAATCTAAAAGCATGGATGCCATCAGGTATGCTTTCTGACCTTGCTGAATAAGTTTTTCTTTTGTATTAGGCTATTCATCTTTAAGCTCTCCTAGTTCAAATATCAGAAAACTTAATCACCAGTTTTACCAGCAGATTTTTAGTTATATTAAAATACGAAAACGTTGCTCTTTCTTTTCCCATTCATTCTCTTATCTTTAATTTTTTACATTTATCTTGACCAAGAAAATTTGCTATTTTTAAACCATAGGTCTCTGGCTTCCGTTTCTTATGCTGCTGTTGATTTTTTCCGACCATCAGCTCAGAGACTGATAGAAGAGAAAGGGGCAGTGGATGCATTGGCTGCAGCATTAGCCCACATCTCTGGTGCATCAAGTTTTGAACCACGATCTTTGATCACCTCTGATAAGGTAGAAATCTGTGAGAAAATCCTAATATGGTTGAGAAAAGATTAACATTGAACCATAAATAATCCATCTATCTAGAAAGAAAAACAGAAAACTTTCACTTTGTTCAGTACTGTGTTGTTGTTTTTTAAAATTTTATTTATTTTTTAAAATTTTATTTATTCATGAGAGACACAGAGAAAGAGAGAGAGGCAGAGACATAGGCAGAGGGAGAAGCAGGCTCCATGTAGGAAGCCCGATGTGGGACTTGATCCCGGGATTCCAGGATCACGCCCTGGGCCAAAGGCAGACACTCAACTGCTGAACCACCCAGGCGTCCCTGCACAGTACTGTATCAACTGAAACACACTAGACTGTGTTCTTTATTTTGCAAGTTGCCATGGAACCATGCAAATCAGAGCTTAGATTTTGTGCACTTAACACATTACCATGCAAAGTAAGGATTGCCTGTATATGTGGAGGGGGTATGTGCATGGGGATGGGGTGTGTGTGTCTTGTTGACACCATCTGACTCAGACCCCTGCTGGGTCAGTATCAGATGTCAAAACAAACCACACCAGACCCATTGGTTGCAAGTAGTTCAAAGATTTATTACTCATCATGGTATAAGTGAAGAGAGTCCCTGGATGACAGGATATCTCAGCAAGAAATTTCCCTGAAGTCTGGGTGGGGACAGAGAAATTGGGAGAAAGAGAGCTGGTAGGAGAGGAGAATAAAAAGATCAGGGTTGGTAAACTTGCATGCAACTATTTGGTGTAATATAAATGAGTACATCTGGGGTGTGTGATGTTTTCCATCTGGCAAGTGTTAACAGTTTAGTGAAATGTCATTTTGCTGGGAGTAACTTCCTTCATGTGTCCACCCCACCCAACACATGAAGTTATGGTAGAATAAGGAGGTAGAATAAGAGAGAGAGTGTAAGCAGTGGGAGAGAGGGAGGATCCCGAGCAGCCTACACACTCAGTGCAGAGCCTGATCTAGGGCTCCGTCTCATGATCCCGAGACCAGGGCCTGAGCCAGAACCAAGAGTTGGATATCTTTTTTTTTTTTTTTTTTTTAAGATTTATTTACTTATTTATGATAGAGACAGAGACAGAGACACAGGAGGAGGGAGAAGCAGGCTCCATGCTGGGAGCCCGAAGTGGGACTTGGTCCCGGGACTCCAGGATCACGCCCTGGGCCAAAGGCAGGCGCTAAACCGCTGAGCCACCCAGGGATCCCAAGAGTTGGATATCTTAACTGACTGAGCCATCCAGCTGCGCCGCCCCCCGCCCACCACACTGTATATCTTTATTTTCTGTTTTTTTATTTTTTTAAGGATTTATTTATTTATTTGAGAGGGAGAACATGAGTGGGGGGAGAGGGAGAAGCAGAATCCCCACTGAGCAGGGAGCCCAATGTGGGGTTTAATCCCAAGACCCTGAAATCATGACCTGAGCCGAAGGCGATACTTAACCAACTGAGCCACTCAGGTGCCCCCCCCCCCCCGACCACCAAATACTTCTTAAGAAAATACTTAAACCATATCTTTTAGGAAAATAATAAGATAGCCTTTAGAGCTAAAGAGTACCTAAGAGATCATTTATTCCCAGCCCTTACCTAATAAAAGAATCCCTCTTTGGCAGATGGGTCATCTAAGTTCTCATTAAATACCTCAGAAGCTGTTTATTAATGGGTTTGAAATTTCTTTTATAGGTAAACCAAAATCCAAAGTCTTTATCATCAATGTCCTACAAGGTCTTCCCCTTGGTACTTCTTTGACCCATCTCTTACCACTCTATCCTTGGTTGTTTTAGCTACCCTAACCTACTTGTTACTCAAACATAAACCTCCTGCACAGGACTTTTGCACTTGCACTGTTTCAGATATTTGTTCTTTTTACCACATGGCTTCCTCCTTCACCTTATTTAGGTCTCCAAATATCAGCATATTAGAGAGGTCTTTCCTAATCACCCTGTCTAAAATAGCTTACCTTTCCCTTTAAACTCTATTCCCTTGCCCTGCTTTATTTTTCTTCATGATGCTTATTACTGTTTGGGATTTTATGTATTTGCTTATTTGTTTACAGTTTACCCCACCTTGTCCCCACCATGCCCACCCCCAACACTAGAATGTAACCCGCATGAGAGAAAGGACTACTTACTGCTGAATCTCTACAGTCTCTGGCAGATACGTAGGGGACACTCATTAGATATTTGTTAGATAAGGGGCACCTGACTGGCTCAGTCGATAGAGCATACAGCTCTTGATCCCAGGTTTGTGAGTTCAAGCCCCGTGTTAGGCATAGAGCTAACTTAAAAAATATATTACTATTATATATATATTTTTTTCTATTATATTTTTAAAATATTGTATGTATGTATGTATGTATGTATTTATTTATTTATTTATTTATTTATGAGGCCCACAGAGAGGCAGAGACATAGAAGACCCCAGGATCACAACCTGAGCCGAAGGCAGATGCTCAACCACTGAGCCACGCAGGTGCCCCCAAAAACAAAATTATTAGATGAATCCCTCCTTATATTGTCTCCATGTTGATCCTTTTGCAGTCCAGTGAAGTTTTATAGAACAAGTAATTTTTGGTTATACAATAGTTCTTCAAAAGTTTAAAGAGATTTAATGTCCTTGTTTTTTTTACCCCAAGCTAACTTTGACTCTTTCAGCATTTCCTTGGTTCTTTATTACTTTATCTTTTTCTCTGATGCTGTAGTTTATTTCTCAAAGCATGATAGTTAGAATTAAATACGTAGTCTTTACAGAAATACAAAGAATGTTTTTTTCAATGATCTGTAAACGTTAGTCTTCTATTAATATAGTTTTAAAGAAGGTTTTTTTTAGCAGCCATGTTATACTAATGGTTCATGAGAAATGTACAGTGAAGTCATGAAGGGCTGCAGTTAGAACTTCATTGTCCTGCTGCTGCTGCTTTTTTTTTTTTTCAAAGATGATTGACTTTTATTTCTTAAGGGATTTGTCACCATGACTCTGGAAAGCCCAGAAGAAATACAGGATGTCAGCTGTGCATGGAAAGAACTTAACAGAAAGCTGAGTAGTAATGCTGTGTCCCAAATTACCAGAATGTGCCTCCTAAAAGGAAATATGGTAGGTTTTTCTAGAATTAAAATAAAAAGCTTTTATAATCAACTACTGTAAATGTTTTTAAAGATCAGATTTTGTTCCTTCTTTCTTTTTTTGAAGTCTGATGGGATGAATAATATAGTTTTCTCTGCGTGATAGTTTGTTTCCAGTTGTGAATTTGGGGAGTTATGTAAATAACCCGTTCCTCTAGAAAGCTGTAAGTCGTTTTGCTTAGTTTGCGTAATAGTTATCTAAGTTACCTATGTTTCTGCACCTGTATACAGATTGTGTGTGGTTGCATGTGGTGTTTTACTTTATGACTAACTAGCTTACAATTTCAACAGCTAAACAGCTCTATTAATATTAGAGAATATGCAATATTGACTTTAGAGTGGCCTGTTGGTTGTTAATGAGGATAATGAAATAAATTAAGTATCATACATTTTTGAAGTAGCAAAATTAAAAACATCTCTAATCTTAATGATTTTGTTTCTTTAATGGTTTTACAGAAGATGTTATATTTATTCATCTAACTTTACTATATAGGTTTATTCTAGCCTAGAATTTATTAACTTGATTGTTTATTTTCATCTCAAAGTTTACTATTACCATCAAGTTTTGTGGCAAGTATGAGACAAATACACTCATTCAGAAAAATTATGGAAAGGAGAGAAAATATAACAAGATCCTTAGGCCAAACTAGTTGTCGTACTTGAGAATTAAATTAACTTTTAATTTATTAGCAACCAGGACCAAAGAAGAAACATCCTGGGTTACATCATTCTTACTGTCTGATAAACACTACACCGCTTTAAAATAGAAACTTTTTGGCACTAAATTTTTCAAGGGATTTATATATTAAGCATTACAGTGTCTACAAGAACTTTTCTAGAGAATACTCTAGATTCTTAGTAATAGTAGTAGTAGATTCCTGTTAGATATTGTGTTTACTTTTCAGATTTAGAAAATACAATAAGCAGCTACTCTGTGTCATGCATTATTATATGTTAGCTGTTTTAATCTTATAAACATTCATAAGGCACACCTTATCTTTTTTTTCTTCTTTTTTTTTGTACCTACTATATAATTAGCAACTATTAGTGTACTGGTAAAAAATTAACTGGTTTGCATTTGAATAAAAATGTTTTCATTTTGCTTTTAGGGTGTTTGTTTTGATGTTCCCACAACTGAGTCAGAAAGGTTACAGGTATTTGAAAATTTTCATCTGTTAAATAATTGTCTCTCTAAAAAATAGAAATTAAAAAAAACGAGGGATGCCTGAGTGGCTCAGCAGTTGGGCGTCTGCCTTTGGCTCAGGGCGTGATCCTGGAGCCTGGGGATTGAGTCCCGCATCGGGCTCCCTACATGAAGCCTGCTTCTCCCTCTGCCTATGTTTCTGCCTCTCTCTCTGTGTGTCTCTCATGAATAAATAAATAAAATCTTTAAAAATGAAAAATGACAATATCATGATGCCTAAATCAATTAACATTCCTTAATGTGATATATCTAGTCTATATCATAATTTATTTATTTATTTTTTTTTTAATTTTTATTTACTTAGGATAGTCACAGAGAGAGAGAGAGAGGCAGAGACACAGGCAGAGGGAGAAGCAGGCTCCATGCACCGGGAGCCCGATGTGGGATTCGATCCTGGGTCTCCAGGATCGCGCCCTGGGCCAAAGGCAGGCGCCAAACCGCTGCGCCACCCAGGGATCCCTATATCATAATTTAAAACATTTTTTATTATAAATAATTTTAAATATAAAAAATAGAATTGCAAGGGATCCCTGGGTGGCTCAGCAGTTTAGCGCCTGCCTTTGGCCCGGGGCATGATCCTGGAGTCCTGGGATTGAGTCCCACGTTGGGCTCTTGCATGGAGCCTGCTTCTCCCTCTGCCTGTGTCTCTGCCCTCTCTCTCTCTGTGTCTCTCATGAATGAATAGATAAAATCTTTAAAAAAGAAAAAAAAAAAGAATTGCATAATGAATATTCATGTACCAATCACCCAGCTGCAACAGTGATCAGCTCATGCCCAGTTTGTTTCATGGTTTCATTTCACTTCCATCCATTTTCCCACTCTCCTGTATTTATTTTCCAAACTCAGCTTTGTCTCTTTCTCATTCATATTATACTGGGAGAAAGTGACAATATTTTATTTAGCTTAAATAAACTTTAAAATTCCAGTATAGTTAACATACAGTGTTACATTAGTTTCAGGTATACAACACAGTGATTCAGTACTTCCATATGACACCCAGTATGCTTAAATAAATTTTTTTTATAATTTTTTATTTTACACAAAGTAAGATTAAGGCAAAGAAAAACAAATACCATATCATATGACTTCACTCATATATGGGATTTAAGAAATAAAACAAATGAACAAAGAAAAAAGACAAAAAACAGACTCTTAAATACAGAGACAAACTCATAGTTGCCAGAGGGGAGGTGGGTGGCAGGTTGGGTGAAATAGATGAAGGAGTTTAAGAGTTGTATGTATTTTTTTTGAAACAAATTGTAGGTATTCTATCATTTCAACCATAAATAGTTCTACATACCTAATTAGGGGCACTTTTTAAACAGATTTATTTGTCTATTAGAAAGCGTGTGTGCATAAGCAAGGAGAGGGGCAGATGAGAGAGAATCCTCAAGCAGACTCTGTCACGTATGAAGCCCAACTTGGGGCTTGAATTTATGACCCTGAGATCATTACTGAACCAAAATCAACAGTTGGTAGTTTAACTGACTGAGCCACCCAGGCACCCCTAAGATAAATTTGTTAAGATGACTACTTGGCCAGAAAGTTTGTGCATTTTCAAGGCTTTGGTCATATATTGCCACCAGTGGTATGTGTGTTTGTCTCTGCTCATTCTTACCAACAGGTATTATATACACGTACGTGTGTGTGTGTGTTTTGTGTGTGAGAGAGAGAGGTGGGAAAGAAAGCACGAGCCAAGGGCAGAGGAAGAAGAAGAATCAGACTCCCCACTGAAAAGGGAGCCCAAAGCAGGGCCAATCTAGGAACCCTGTGATCATAACCTGAGCCAAAGGTAGTTGTTCAACCAACTGAGCCACCCAGATGCCCTTCAACAGGGTATTTTAATATTCAGTTTCCTTGGCAACTCATGTTCACAGTGAAGAATAGTTAATTAATAAGATCTAATGTAGTGATTGATGCTCTTGAGCTGCTAATTCGCACATCTTGAGTTGTTTACTCCCAACACCAAATTATTCCCAGTGGCTACATATTTTCATCCTCAGCTATGTTGACAGGTTTTTAGTCTCTATCATTAGCTCTCAATTCTTGCTTCTGTCAATATAACCACTGAAAGCAATGCACTACTTATTAATGATGGCTTGCTTGTTTCATACTGAGAAATCAGTGTTCTTTTTTTTTTAATTTTAATTAAAAAAAATTGTTTGAGGGCACCTGGGTAGCTCATTTGGTTAATCATATGCCTTTGGCTTAGGTCATGGTTTTGGGGTCCTGGGATCAAGTCCTGCATCCAGCCCCTTGCTCCTTGGGAAGCCTGCTTCTCCCTCTCCCTCTGCCTGCCACTACCCCGTTTGTGCACTCCCTTTCTCTTGTGCATGCTCTCTCTCTCTATCAAATAAAATCTTTAAAAATATATTTATTTGGGATCCCTGGGTGGCGCAGTGGTTTAGCGCCTGCCTTTGGCCCAGGGCGCGATCCTGGAGACCCGGGATCGAATCCCACGTCGGGCTCCCGGTGCATGGAGCCTGCTTCTCCCTCTCCCTGTGTCTCTGCCTCTCTCTCTCTGTGTGTGACTATCATAAATAAATAAAAATTAAAAAAATTTAAAAAAATAAAAATATATTTGAGAGAGAGTGAGAGTGGGGATGAGGGGGAGAGAGAGAGAGAGAGAGAGAGAGGGAGGGAGAAGGAGAATTTCAAGCAGGCTCCCCACTGAGTACCAAGCCTGATTCAGGGCTCCATCTCACAACCCTGAGAGGAGGACCTGAGCCGAAACCAAGAGCCAAATGCTCAACCAACTGAACCACCCAGACACCCCAAATGTTTAACTTTTAGAATGTATAAACTGAGTATGAAATTATGACCCTCAAAATGAGCCTGAGAGTTTCTCCTAAGACTAAAATTTAGGAAGTTTAATGAATGAGTTTTTTTTTTTTTTTTTTTTAATGAATGAGTTTTTAATATGCTTTTTTCTGGTTTTAAGATTTGTTCCAAGTACTTTAAATTTAATGGATAGATGGACTTTAGCTAATAGATGATAGATATTAAAAAAGAATATCCTCTACTCATATGCTTGCTTATGGTTTCCATCTTGCATTTATATTAATCCTGTAAATTCCCCCAATAGGCAGAGTGGCATGATTCAGACTGGATACTTTCATTGCCAGCCAAATTACCTGAAATTGAAGAATATTATGATGGAAACACATCTAACTCCAGGCAGAGGAGTGGCTGGTCAAGTGGCCGGGCGGGCCGATCAGGCCGGTCAGGTGGTCGATCTGGTGGCCGGTCCGGTAGACAGAGTCGACAGGGAAGTCGGTCAGGAAGTCGACAAGATGGTAGAAGACGAAGTGGGAATAGAAATCGATCAAGAAGCGGGGGCCACAAACGGAGTTTTGACTGAGTATTTGATAGTTAACCTACCAGTGTGAGCTTGCCTATTTCTGCCTAATCATGTACATTATCCACCAAAAATTAGGTCATCGTAGTTGAGGTATGTGTCTGCTCTTTGCAAAGAAGTTGGTCATATTTTTTTAAAAAGTATTTCACAAGAATGGTTGTAAACAAATCTACTTATCCAGTTATACCTTTGAATAAAAAAAAACGCCTTTTATTGTCTCTTTTCACTATGTGTTAAGAATTTTGTCAATGTAGTCTTCTACAGGTTCTTCTAAAATGTGACACTTAAATTAGTCTTACTTGAGATTACTTGGATTTTGTGATATTTATTTATTTATTTTAAAGATTTATTTATTTATTCATGAGAGACGTAGACTGAGAGAGAGTCAGAGACACAGGCAGAGAGAGAATCAGGCTCCCTGCAGGAACCCTGATGTGGGACTCGATCCTGGATCCTGGGATCACGACCTGAGCCGAAGGCAGGCACCCAACCCCTGGGCCACCCAGGCGTCCCATGTGATGTATTTTTATCCACATCATTCCTTTCATAGGATATATAGTAGAAAATAAGAAATCCCTTCTACATTCAAGGGCTGTAGAAACTGGTGACTTGGTTGGTTAGATGTAGCATTTAAATTCTAGACAGAGTTCATTAAAAGGGTATGCAAGCAGTGTACACTCCATTTATTCACCAGGTAATGATTGAAGTCTATGTGCCTATCACTATGTTAATTGCTAGGGATATTAGTAGTACACAAGGCACAGCTCTCTCCTAAAGGAACTTACAGTCTAAAAACAAGCAATTGAGTGAGTTTAACATCCAAAGGCAAGTAAGGAATGCTAAGGACCTAGTTGGGGTGCACCAAACCAGGCTTAGGAGTTGGAAAGGCTTAGAAGAAGTGATACCCAAAAGAAGAAGTTGAACAAAAGTATCTGTTGAGCTAAGCAAGTATGTGTATAGTGGGAAGAAGAGCTTAGAAAAGAGAGGGTTTACAGGCAGGGAGAACAGCATATGCAGATACCCAGAGCCAGAGAATGCCATAGGAAGTGTGAGGACCTACAATTAGTTTAGTCTGGTTTACTGAGGCAGAGATAGGCATAAGAGAGAATGATTTAGTATTTAACAGGGACCAGATTTTAAGGGTTTGTGTACATTGTTAAGTTTAAACATACTCTTGAAGACAGTGGCAAACCATTAAAAGATGTAAAGTAAGGAGTAACATGATGAGATCTGTGTTTTAGGAAAGATTATTAGCTACACCAAAGAGACTGGATTGGAGAAGGACCAGACTGGAGGTCAGGAAACCTCTTAAGATGCTGTTGGAGTAATCTGAAGTAGATAATGGTGGTCTGCACTAACGTTAGGTAACATTTTGACTGATAAGTACCGAGACATTCGAGAGCTTATTACTTGTCCAGAATCACAGCTGGATAGTAAGTAGGGTAGTGAGGATTTAAATCCAAGTAAGTCTAGTTTCCGAATCTGCATTCTTTTTTTTTTTTTTTTTTTTTTTTAAAGATTTTATTTATTTATTCATGAGAACACACAGAGAAGAGAGAGAGAGGCAGAGACACAGGCAGAGGGAGAAGCAGGCTCCATGCACCAGGAGCCCGACGTGGGACTCGATCCCGGGTCCCCAGGATCGCGCCCTGGGCCAAAGGCAGGCGCCAAACCGCTCCGCCACCCAGGGATCCCCTCGAATCTGCATTCTTAACCACTGTGCTAAATAGCAGTGGTGACACTGAGAAACATGGATAGATTTCCAAAGTTTTTTGTTTAGTTTTTTTTTTTTAAGTTTATTTCTTTTTAGTAATCTGTACACCCAGTGTGGGGCTCAAAACTTGATCCCAAGATCAAGAATCACATACTCCTCCAACCCAGCCAACCAGGCACCTCCTAAGTTGTAGGAAATAAAATTGTTAGGACTAGTACTTGATTGAATTGGAGGATGAGACAGATGCAAAAGAATGAAACAGATTTTTGTCACTGAGATAAAATGCTAGGAGGAAGAACAAGAACAGCTATGTGGGGAGGGAGAAAAGGATATGATTAGTTCAATATTGGGTATATTTTAATATTGAATAGCACTTGAGATAATAAAAGATGTAAGAGGAGATAAACAGTAGGCAGTTGGATTTATACGTTTGAAGCGGAAAAGAGATCTGGAGGTGTCAAGATTTGGGCATAGCTTTTAAAAATAATTGTACTTAAGGCAGTGGAAGAGATTATCTAGTGAAAGTATAGTAAGAAAAGAGGACTAAAGAGGGAACCCAGAGAGACTAATGTATTTACTGCATAGCAGAAGAAGGAAATCCCATCACCATCAAGAGGAGGTAAGAAGATGGTAGAAAGCCCAGGAATATAAGGCTTTCAAGGAACCAGAAGATGCGCCTGGGATGGCCACCTGATTTGGCAAAAAAGGAGATATTTGACATGGGGAGCAACCATATAATGAAGTATGGAGAGTAGAAACCATTTAGCAGTGGGTTCAGTAGGAAATGAGAGATAAAGAACTAGGGACAGCAAACGTCTTCCAGAAACTTGGCTGTGAGATAGGGAAGAATAAGCTAACAGTGAATGTGAAAGAAAGGAAATGAGATGACAAATTTTTGTACGTGTGCATTGGGGAAGGATGAAGAAAATTAGAGTGTGGACTACTAATATGGGCAGGAACCAGAAAGGAGCAAGGAAGAGAAAGAATATATGATGGGACAAGATCTCTATGAAGACTCAGAAGGATGAGCTCAAGCACACACTGGAGATTTTAATCTTAGCTATCTAAGAAGGACATCTCTAACATTTTGCCAGAAAAAAAGTGTGATTATCATGTCGGTGAATTTGCTGGTGTAAGGGTAAAAAGTTGACAGATTGCCTGCCTGATGTCTTCTATTTCTTTCTGTGGGTTTTTTTTTTTTTTTAAGATTTTTTTTTTTTAAGATTATATGTATTAGAGACAGAGGGAGAATAAGAAGGAGGAGCAGACTCACCACTGAGCAGAGAGCCCTATGTTGGTTCAATCCTAGGATACAGATCACGACCTGAGCCAGCAGATGCTCAACTGATCGAGCCACCCAGGCACTTGTGGGATTCTTTCATGGTCATCTGCTGAGGATGAAGAGGAAAATAGCAGGCTAGGAGATTTGAGAAAATTGTAGAAATGCTGAGCAGCCCGGGTGGCTCAGTGGTTTAGCACCGCCTTCAGCTCAGGGTGTGATCCTGGAGACCCAGGATCGAGTCCTGCATCAGTCTCCCTGCATGGAGTCTGCTTCTCCCTCTGCCTGTGTCTCTGCCTCTCTCTCTCTCTCTGTCTCTCATGAATACATAAAATCTTAGAAAAAAAAATTGTAGAAATGCTGACGTACCAACTGTAGAGCAAGATGAGAGCTTACTATGCAAACTAAGGGTCACAGGTAGCTTTGAGGGTCCAGTTGAGATTAGAGACTGAATGTGTACTGGCAACAATTAGAGCACTTGAGTGATTTCTGTAGTGACACTCAATATTCTGTTGTAGGAATGGAAATGGAAGACACTTGATTGATCTAGGATTGGGGTTTGTTCTGTGAGATGAAAGGATGACTAGGTGAAGATGTTAAGGACTTGGGCAATAGTGACTGGAGTAATGGGCCATGTAATCTAGACTGCCTAGGGATTGAAGTGGAGGTGGGGTTGATAACATGGAGAATGTAGAAGGGGCAAGGGAGTGATGTATTTGTATCCAGAACTCTGAGATTTCAAGAGTGGAGCAGTTGGGAACAAGACAAGTGCAAGGTTTGGTAGTAGGCCTCTTGGGGGTAATGGTTATTTCAATTGAGATAGTTAAAGAATGGAGAAGCTAGTGCGAGTGTTTTTGTGGACAATGAAGTCTCCAGGACTGAGAAGGGAGAGGAAGACTAAGCCAGGTGCCAAACTATCAATGAATGGTGGAGGTTAAGTTACCTGAATAAGGAGGGGTATAGGGTGATATTGCTACCTATCTTTCAAGGGACAAGGGCATTTACTCGGATAGTGAAGGAGTAATAGTTGGAAATGGTTTTGAGGAAAAGACAAGGACACTGATACCAGAGTACATGGGATGTGAGGGAATGAACAACATGTGTGGGAAAGTTGCAGGAATATTTTTCAAGAAGAGCCAGATTTCAGTTAATCCAATGGGTGTGGGGAGGACTCGGTGCTAGATTAAGAAAGGGAGAAGTTTTGATTATGGGAAATGGAGTTCCAGATAACTATGACTGGGGAGGTAGGGAGGAGTCTCAGCTGACTCTACATTTGAGTAGTTGTGAGCTCTGGATTTATACTGAAGATGAAAGAGAGGCTCCATTTCTACAAAGGTGCATGAGTACTGATAATTTAGTCAAAATAAGTTGTATATCTACAACGTCCCAGGCACTATGGGGCACAAAGGTGAATAAGGTGTATCTAGTCTCTGCCCCTGTCAAGAGCTCTGAATCTAGTGAAATAGATGGACACATGAACTTAGGTCCATGGCAATGACTAAGTGCAATAATTTTGAGAGCTCTGCACAAGGGCACCTAGTCCAGCCCAGGAGTGGGGGTGGTGGTTTAGAGAAAACTTTTTGGATTTGATGACTGAACATGAATTAAGTCAGGTAAAAGAAACAGGAAGTGGGAATGGACATCCAGGAAAAGGCCCGGAAAAGCTAGTAAAACAAGACCTGAGTAGGGCGAACAATAAGTAGCTGTCGTTGCTGGGATCTTCACTATGAGGAAAGCAATGATGAGAACAAGGCAAGAGTCCCATCTTGGAAGGCTTTGTAGACCTTGTTTTGGACAGCCATTGAAGGGTTTCAGGGAAATGAGTGAAAGAAGCATGTAGGTAAATGCTAGTAGAGTGGAGGTAGATTTTAGGGGTCTACACGCAAAAAGCTTGCTTTCCTATTAGCAAGGAAAGTGGGGGAGGTCCTGACACGATTAAGCAATAGCTTTCCTTGCCATCTGGAAGAAGGCGGGGGCAGAATTTTCAGCTTGGGCTGCATTCAGCCCTTTATTTTGCTCCTTCCTCATAGAGTCCAGCACTTTCATGTTTCCACCTTTTGGCTATTCGGAGCCTCCTGTTTGGTACTCTGTGCCCTAGTGTGGTCGCTTAACAGCTATTCGAACTTAATTAAATCAGTTACCCTGATCTTCAGTTTTTAAATTTGTAAGTATGTTTTATTCCCTTCAGCAATAGAAATTTGAACAATGAGTTCACATTTAGGTGTAAATGTCTGAGAGCTTCCTCTCACATTGTTTTTGTTTCCTGTTTTGTGAGTAGTGCTTAAGAAGTTTCTTTAAACCATATTTTTTCATACTAGTAATGTGCATCCATTGTTGGAAACTAAAAAAAATAGAGAAGCAAATGGAAGAAAATAAAAACCATCCATAATCATATCACTCAGATAATTACTGCTAGATTTTTGAATCTAGAAATTACTGTGTATATTTTTGAATCACTATGTGCGTGTATTATGTTTGAATACTTTTTGAAATAGAAATTCTCCCCAATTTTATGAAAACATGGCATTATCTACATCAGAGGAAACTTATGGCATAATCAATATTCAAACAGAACTTCACATTTCCAATCAAATGTATACATGAGACCCATTTTTTTTCTACTGGTTGCTGAATTTTAAACTGATAACTAGATTTAATACTGTAATTTGGCTACCTTTGAGGCAGAAAGGGCCTTTAATGCTTCCTCTAGATTTTTGGCCTTTTGCCTATGTGCGGGTATATTACAAAGGAACTTACCTAGTTTATAAGCCTTGACAACAATTTCCCATTAAGTAGTGTTTTGGGCTTACTCTCCTGTTGAATATCTATTAATAATAAAAATGCCCCTGTACTGTTTATAGCAGTATCATTACAGAGGTTCCTTGAGACAGGAACTGAGCCTTCACCTACTTCAAAGTCTGAAGTACCAGATGTTAAGCATTTTGTCAGTTGGTTAATTGCACTCATGCTTGCTCCCCCCTTCTCCCGCACCTAATACCAGGGTGACTGAACTGCTTTCCTGCCTGGGCATCTAGCTAAAATTTATTTCAAGGGGTTCTTTCTTCTCCTCCACCCCACAACATTGACATTTTAATGGTCAATCAACATTTAGTGTCAATCTACTACACGTCTATGTACCTACCAGGCACTGTTTGAAATTTTCAGGATGCAAAGATGGATCAACCAAGGCTCCTAGCTTAAAGATATCAGAGTGTAAGTTAAAATATGTAAATTTGTTAAAGAACTGTGAAACCTCAAATAATAGTTTATGTGAAACATGAAATTTTTCAACTGTCATTTAAAAATGTGCAGTAAAAAAAAATAAAAAAAATGTGCAGTAAAAACTAATCTCATGAAATACAGAAATAAAAGTTCCAGCATTTTCATCATAAAATGATTATATTTTGGGATCCCTGGGTGGCGCAGCGGTTTGGCGCCTGCCTTTGGCCCAGGGCGCGATCCTGGAGACCCCGGATCGAATCCCACGTCGGGCTCCCGGTGCTTGGAGCCTGCTTCTCCCTCTGCCTGTGTCTCTGCCTCTCTCTCTCTCTCTCTGACTATCATAAATAAATAAATAAATAAAAATTATAAAAAAAAAATGATTATATTTTAAGTTGTCTTTCTAAAGACCTACATGTTTTAATAGCTGTCATTCATTGTGCTTTATGTGCCAGGCACTGCTAAACCCATTTCATTATCTTAATTTTCTCAGCCCATGAGGTAAGTTTGTTATTCCCATCTCATGCACAAGAAACTCAGGTTCAGATTAAGTAATGTGTGCAAAATCACAGGACAAGCAGTGTGGGTTTTCAAAGCCAGGCATGATTTCAACTGATTTTTATTTTAACTCATTTTTTAAAAATGATTTTGTGTTGAAGTGGTTCCCAATTCTTTGGATCAGTAGTTCTTCGGAGAAGTTCAGCGACACCATCATAGATCATTCAATGGACCACTTAACTTCAACTCCTTGAATTACTGTATTGTCCAATTATCCAGGATTTAGAGCCCAGTATTTTCTTAGAGGTCCACGTGGCTTGGGGGCCCTCTCTACCGGTCCCAAGGCCGGCTCAGGTGCCTCTCTGTGTCTTCAGAACAGCTGATATCCGTCTATCAAAGTTCCTGGATGACAACTTTTGTGCATTGTCCGCTACCTGGCATTACTGTGAATGCTCAGGGGATGTCTGCGTGCACGCATAAAGGAACGACCGAATCCGGACGGAACTCTAGTTCTTAACCAGGCCTGTGAGTCTGCGCACTTCGGCCAGGTGATCAAGAACAGACCTCGGTCGCGTCTGTGCCTGAAAGGATCTTGCCAACTCCAGCGATCTAACATAAACCACGGAAAAGCGACAAGTTATTTATGAGGTTAGGGCCACGGAGAATCTGGCCAGTGTTTGTTAACCTCTGGGGTTCCTCCCAGCCGGACCCTTCCAGTCCAGGCGCGGCGAGCGGACAGTTCCCCACCCCGCAGCACGGAGAGCCGCGCCGGCGCCCGCGCTAACCACGTGGGCCCCCGCCTCCCCCGGCCTTTCTGCTTCCGCCGGAACCGCCTTGCTACCGGAAGTGACGAAAGTGGGTGGTCTAGACGGGGAGTACAGTCTCTTCCTCTCCACGCGGTGGACCTGACCGGTCGGCCTGAATTGCTCGAGGTGAACGATGCCGGGGAAACTCCTTAGTGACGCGGGTTTGGACTCCGAGACCACCATGGAAGAAGTGGAGACACCGCGGAAGCAGAATGAGAAGGTGCCGCCGAGGGCCGAGGGACGACCCGGGGCGCCGAGGGGAGCGGGATACGGGAGCGGGGTGGGGTGCTCGGCTGGGCGGCGGTGGCGCGCACGCGGACGCGGCGTGTGCGGGTCCCGGTGTGGGGTTCGACCGGGAGGGTGCCAGGAACCCGTGCTCTCGGCGGGCGGTGGGCGCACGAGCGGCGCAGGCGGGCCGGAGCTGGGGTGAGCGCCTCCCACGTGGCCCGGGAGTCTGGGCGCCCCGCGCCCGGTGCGCATTTGGATGCTCATGCTTGGGCCCCACGTTGCTGGCTCGCTAACTCCGGGTGTGAGCGTGTGCGGAGGGAGTTGTCAGGTCAGGTAGGGACTGAAGCTTCAGAATAGACTGGCGATACCTCAGAGTGACACTTTAGTAGTAAGGGAAGTACGACTTGTTTGCCGGTGAGCAGCCTTTAGAAGATGAAGTATTCGGCTTAACGCCTACTGAGTAGATTTCCCGTGGAAAGGTAAGAAGATGCGTTGTTGTGCTGAGTGTACAGCATCTTTTTGATAGAGGGTCGGCGGTGTGTAGGGGTCTTAAGTTGCCTTGATAGCGGTCTGCCTCTTTACTGTTATTTCCTTAGTGATTTTCCTTAGTGATTTAACTTGTGACTGAGTCTCTGTTCCAAGATCAGTCGGTGAGAACAAAAATTGTCCCTGAATTCCTGTTGTGCATGACTTAGAATTTCCTTTCCTTTGCTGTGTATGAGTCTTTTTGATGCGGAGCTTTTACAACAGCAATATTTTGGCATTGTAGGAAGCCGAGGGAGCACAGTCTTGTCCTTACAGGTGGGGAGGAAGTGATCCTGGCTTACCTGCTCCACATCAGTGAAGGTATTCAGTTGTGGGATGCTCAAGTGAAGAGGGACATGGCCAAACCCTATCACATTCCAGAGGAGACCACCGGGTTAGGATATCCTTTCTTACTCGGTGGAACGAAGGGATGAAAGAACCGGAGTCTTGTGGGGAGACCAGATTATTTTTCTGATAGCTGAAAGGTGATCATTTGGGAAAGATTAGCATCACTCATGACTTGAGAGCAGAAGCAGGGCCTGAAGGTTCAGAGAGGCAGATTTCAGCTAAATATAATCTCCATGGTTCTGGAATTGGCCTTTCAGAGAGGTTTTAACAGAGGCTACAACACCTGTCTACTTGGTTTCGGTAATATTAATTAACTTTCAGTATATGAAAAGTTGGAAAAGGTCAGACATTTCAGGTAGGAGCCATAGCCCTGGGTTGGGTTGGGTTTGGAGTTTTGATTTTAAGATTTCACCCATTCCATTTCCTTGTAATGTGCTTCCCCCCCCCTTGAAATTAGATACATCTTTTTTACACATGGGGTGATAGATTGTGGGGGTTTATAGATTTTTGGTTCGTAAAGTGTCTTTGTAAAAATTAATTTGCACTTGTCAATAGCCAAGACAGATATTATGAATCACTGTTTTACCTGTACAGGAATTCTGGCAGAGAAAGAAATCTGCTTAACATCGTCCATCTGTGGATATATATGACCTTATTACTCTATTAGAATTAAACTACTTGATCTCTTTGTATAGTCATACATATGTGGTTTAGAGCCTTTTGGAGCATCCCATGAGCCACTCTAAATCCCTTATGAAAGTTTTATTTTACAACTTTTTTTTTTTTTACAACTTTTTCAACTAACAAGATTTGAATAGATACCAAGAGGCGTTGCATTCTCTTATAAGCTGATGAAATTATTGATATAACGGTACTTAAGTCCATATAACTAAGAAATGGTGCTAAAAAGCATAGTGTTTTGATTTATTACAAGGTGAAAATACAGATGTTGGAAAATGCCCCCCAATTGTGTTCATAATTATGTGATCTTTAAATAATCCAACATTGATGTGTCATACAAATGTATACTTGCTTTACTCAGTAGTTTGTATTTTCTTTGATTTTTTTTAGAAAGGTAGAAAGGAGAAACCAAAATCTATTAAGACTGAAGAGGCAACAGAAGTAAAAGAAGAAATTCCTTCCCCTAAAGCTAAAAAAGTTAAAAAGAAAGCTGAGTCTGAGGTTGACATGAATTCTCCTAAATCTAAAAAGGCAAAAAAGAAAGAGGAGCCATCTCAGGATGACATAATTTCTCCTAAAACCAAAAGTGTGAAAAAAACAAAGGAGTCCTTTGAAAAGAAAGTTGTTTCTCCTAAAACAAAAAAAGTAATAAAAAGTGAAGAACCTTCTGAAGAAGAGATAAGTGCTCCTAAGCCCAAGAAGATGAAGAAAGAAAAGGAAATGAATGGAGAAATTGGAGAGAAAAGCCCCAAACTGAAGAATGGATTCCCTCATTCTGGACTTGTCTCTAACACCAGTGAAACCCTAGGGGAAGAAAGTAACAGTGAGTTAGAGCAGGTAAAGTTGTATTTTAATGTATAGAATGTAGTTTTTATTGTTTCAGATAAATAAGTAGCTAATTGCTACTGGTATTTAAAAGTGGGAGAGGATGCCTGGCTCAGTCAATAGAGCATGTGACTCTTGATCTATATCTATATATATGTGTGTGATTTTACTCATTTTTATTTTTATTTTTATTTTTTTAATTTTTTTTTTTTAAGAGAATTTTCTTTTTTTTTTTTTAATTTTTATTTATTTATGATAGTCACAGAGAGAGAGAGAGAGAGGCACAGAGACACAGGCAGAGGGAGAAGCAGGCTCCATGCACCGGGAGCCCGACGTGGGATTCGATCCCGGGTCTCCAGGATCGCGCCCCGGGCCAAAGGCAGGCGCCAAACCGCTGCACCACCCAGGGATCCCCTAATTTTTTTTTTTTTGAAATTTTTTTTTATTTATTTATGATAGTCACAGAGAGAGAGAGAGAGAGAGGCAGAGACACAGGCAGAGGGAGAAGCAGGCTCCATGCACCGGAAGCCCGATGTGGGATTCGATCCCGGGTCTCCAGGATCGCGCCAAAGGCAGGCGCCAAAGGCAGGCGCCAAACCGCTGCGCCACCCAGGGATCCCGATTTTACTCATTTTTAGAGAGAGTGCGTGTACACTACTGGTGGAGAGGGGCAGAAGGAGAGGGAGAGAGAAAATTCTTTTTTTTTTTTTCTTAAAAATATTTATTTATTTATTTATTCATGAGAAACAGAGAGAGAGAGGCAGAGACACAGGCAGAGGGAGAAGCAGGCTCCATGCAAGGATCCCAATATGGGACTTGATCCCAGGTCTCCAGGATCACACCCTGGGCTGCAGGCGGCGCTAAACCCCTGCGCCACCGGGGCTACCCGAGAGAGAAAATTTGAAGTAGACTCCACACTGAATGCAGAGCCCGATGCAGGGTTCAGACTCATGACCCTGAGATCATGACTCAAGCTAAAACCAGGAGTCGGACACTAACAGACTGAGCCACTCAAGCTCCTCTTTATCCCCACTTTTATTTATTTATTTAAGAGATTTTATTTATTTAAAAAAAAAAAAAGAACAGAAGGAGAGGGCAGAGGAAGAAGCAGATTCCTCACTGAGCAGGAGTGCGATGTGGAGCTTGATCCTAGGACCTTGAGATCATGACCTGAGCCGAAAGCAGGTACTTAACCGACTGAGCCACCCACATGCCCCCCCCCCCACTTCTAAATGTTAAATATTGGGACACTGGGTGGCTCAGTGGTTGAGTATCCGCCTTTGAGCCCCTGTATCAAGTTGTGCATCAGGTTCCCTGCCAGGAGCCTGCTTCTCCTCTGCCTCTCTCACAGTATTGCTCATGAATAATTAAATAAAATCTTTAAAAAAAAAATGTTAGGGGAACGCCTGGGTGGCTCAGTGGTTGAGCGTCTTACTTTGGCTCAGGGCGGTGGTCCCCTGGTCCCGGGATCAAGTCCCATATTGGGCTCCCCACGGGGAGCCTGCTTCTCCCTCTGCCTGCCTCTGCCTCTCTCTGTTGTGTGTGTCTTTCATGAATAAAGAAATAAATAAAATCTTAAAAAAAATGTTAAATATTTTTAATGGATCCATAATCCATCATATAAATGTTTAGAAATTCACTTATTTCCTCTATTGGACATTTAGATTTTTCCTTTTTTTTTTAAATATTTTTTTTTATCTATGAGAGGCACAGAAAGCGAGAGGCAGAGACAGGCAGAGGGAGAAGCAGGCTCCATGCAGGGAGCCCAATGTGGAACTCGATCATGGGACCATGGGATCATGGGATCACGACGCAAGCCAAAGGCAGATGCTCAACCCCTGAGCCACCTAGGCGTCCCTAGATTTTTTACTTTAGAATGATGCCACAGTGACCACTTTGTGTTAAAATTTTGTTTCTTATTTTCTGTGAAAGATGTGACTGGGTGGAAAAGGGTTAGTGACCTTTCAGCGATATAGTAGTCCCCCCGATCTGATGTTTTGCTTTCCAGGGTTCCAGTTACCCTCTGTCAACCATGTTCAGGAGCAGATGATTCTCCTCCTGACACACTGTCAAAAGGTTAATAGTAGCCTGCCACTGCATCACAATGCCTATGTCATTCAACTCACCTAGGCATTTTATCAGTTCACATCATCCCAAGAAGGGTGAATGCAGAACAGGAAGATGTTTTGAGAGAAAGACCACATTCACATAATTTTTATTATGGTATATTGTTACAGTTGTTCTATTTTGTTATTGTTGTTGTTAGTTTCTTATGGTGCCTAACTTAAAAACTTATCTTGAATATATATGTGTAGGTAAAAAATAAATAAATAAATAAATAAATAAGGCTCCATACTATCTGTGGTTTCAGGTACCCACTGGGGGTCTTAGAACAAATCCCTTTTGGATAAGGAGGGACTACTGTATATTGTAGGTGTATGCGATGGCAACAGAATAGTTCTTAGTTGACACTGAATCTGCCTTCACTAGCCACACATAGTATATGTATGGTATATATTTGCTACAGATTTTTCTCTTGGTAGAGTTTTATAGATGATTATGGTATATTTCCTTTTCGGATCTTCTATTTTTGGTTAATTTAGAAGATATGTTTTAGAATTGGTTCTTTTGTTTCTTTCTCAGAAGGCTTCTCTATGATTACCTGTAAGGGTGAAGTTTCTAATTTCTTTCTGTGGCCCTTTACTTGATAGGAGATACCTGTGGAACAGAAAGAAGGAGCTTTCTCTAATTTTCCCATATCTGAAGAGACTATTAAACTTCTCAAAGGTAATATTTTTGGAAGTACTGTATAATGTTAGAATATTTATTTGGAAGCACTCCACTGTTTTTGTTGAGATAAAGGACAGTATATGCAACCATATAATAGATCCATGTATACAGTACAGGACTGTACTAGTGATGGCTTTGCTGCCTCTTAAGTAGGTGATTCAATTTTATTCAAACCAATATGTGTATTCAGAAGTGTGAGGACTGATTGCACTGGTTCATGCCATGTTCGTATTTTCTTTTTTATCCTTGCCCTCTTGTAAGGCATCTCTTAACGGTACCAACCTGACTCAGAACTCAGCCTAGCAGTGTCCCTGTGAATGAACTAGGTAGTCACAGATGCTTGAGTAGGTATTTCCTGAAGCAAGTGTGGCATGGTCCGAACTGCAAAGCACCTCATTTGGGTGCTTCAGTTGATCTGTGGATGAGATTTCATGACAAGTGACTAAAGTCTTAAATAATATTTACCATAATTTGGTGCTTTAAAGTTTGTTGATAACTTTCAGTCAAGCACATTCTTCACTACTAGAATACATTACAACCTGACTTTGTAGATACTGACTGGAAAGTAGAATTCCTTAATTCCGCAGGACCAGAAGCATGGCTGGGATGTTAAGAACTGCATTACCAGATAACATGGTTAATTTGTTCACAGCCCGTGGGGTGACCTTCCTGTTTCCTATACAAGCAAAGACATTTTACCATGTCTATAGTGGAAAGGACTTAATTGCACAGGCGCGGACAGGAACTGGGAAGACATTCTCCTTTGCCATCCCTTTGATTGTGAAGCTACAGGGAGAACTGCAAGACAGGAAAAGAGGTCGTGCCCCTCAGGTAATTGTCTTTAACACAGAGCTTAAGGGCTCCATATCTGCATAGGAGCAAAACGTCTCTTAGGCATTGTTTACATCATATACTACAGTTTTTTTGGTGGGTTCTCCTTAGAGCCTTTTTTTTTTCTTTTTTCTGATATGTATTACAGATCTTTATTTGAAACTAAAGTAGGATTATTCTTTTAAGAGTGTTGGACACAAACCCTATAAGTTTAAATATAATCCGCTCAGTGGTTGTGATCACCTGTATTAATGCCCATTGTGTTCCCTTCAAACTTTTTTATTTTATTATTATTATTATTTTTAAATTATTTATTTATGATAGACATACAGAGAGAGAGAGAGGCAGAGACAAGGCAGAGACACAGGCAGAGGGAGAAGCAGGCTCCATGCACCGGGAGCCCGACGTGGGACTCGATCCCGGGTCTCCAGGATCGCGCCCTGAGCCAAAGGCAGGCGCCAAACCACTGCGCCACCCAGGGATCCCCCATTGTGTTCCCTTCAAACCATTAGATGTCCCTGGGGCTTACAGGTTTGATGAAGTATCTCTGACCATTTTTACCTAGGTGGAGAGAACAGTTTTAGTAGAGATGCATAAGTAGAAGGAGGGGTACTCAGAGATGAAGAGACCAAGCTTCCTTGTCAAGATTGTGCATATTGGGTTCATTTCTGGAGAACCCGGCATTTGACAAACCTTAACTTCACTGACCTACCTTTGTTGTCATCGTGTCATCTTTCTGGCCCCACCTCACTGGCCTTTCAATGTCCATACTCCTCCCTCAGTAATTCATTGCTGTAAACAAATGCAGCATTAAACAAATGGATTATTTTAGCACTTGGAATTATCCAGCCTGGCACATAGTGGATATTTAGTAAATATCTGTTGGATGAATGTATCTGATGAATCATTGAATGTTCTTAAATCATACATGTTTCATGTTGTTACTTTACTTAAGTACCTATAGTCCTTTCTGTTTAATAAATATCCTGTTGGGGCAAACTCAGACTGCTCTGGGATATAAAGCCCCTCACCACGTTGGTCCTGCCTTAATTTGTCTTTGTTCTACTTTCAATTTAGTATAGAGGTTCAGTCCCTTGGTTTCAGAACCCAACTGTCTGAATTTAAATCCAGGTTTGCTTTGCTTCTTAGCCTTTTGTGTGTTTGTGTTCAAAATTGTGTGTTTATTGTAGGTGGGTGAATAACTTGTGAGAATTAAACGAGAACGATGCATAGTAAGCATTTAGTAGAGCCTGAGACAGTAAAAGCTCAAAGATTAGCTAATGTTATCAGCAGTGTTACTCCTTGCTCAAGTTGTTGCTTCTTAGAATGCTATTTTGCTATTTAGGTAGTAGTGGCTCCAGGAAACTCCCCAGTTCCTCTGGCCTACTCTGTGAGCCCTCCTGGAGCACCACATGTTTTGACCCTACTTTTCTTATGATTGGTAGGATCACAAACTTCTGAGTAGGTTTGTTAGGGACTGTATTATTACATCTATGATTCTTCACACCAAGTAGGTTGCAAAGCATATAATAGATATTTTGAAAATACTTGTTAAGATGAGTTGAGCCTTCTGGTGAATTCCAATTTTGTTAAGAAACAAATACTGCATAATACTTTGAATTCAGTGATTAGTTTTTCCTTTTCAGGTACTGGTTCTTGCACCCACGAGGGAGTTGGCAAATCAAGTAAGCAGAGACTTCAGTGACATCACAAGAAAGCTGGCGGTGGCTTGTTTTTATGGTGGAACTCCCTATGGAGGTCAAAGTAAGTAATTCCAAAAGTGAGGGAAGGAAATGCTAGCTATTATTGGATGCCCTGTTAGATTTCTCTGGCCTTGAAATCTGATTTTACCTCATTTAGTCATTTATTTTTTAATTAAAAAAAATTTTTTTTAGGATTGTTTAATCATTTATTGTGGTTTTCTTTTGTTATTGTTTATAGATGGTCAAGAATACGGTCCTACATGATGATGTGTATCAAATCCTATTTAGAGTTACTCGGATTTTTGTATTACTGCTCTGTTTATCTAAAGGCTACAAAGATCTCTTACTGAATCTGAGAGGATGGAGTCCACTTTGGCTTTTGGCACTAGAAAGTCATGATTCAGAGTTATTCTTTGTCAAGGATGATGGATCTGCCTCTTTTGGAGTCTTTCTTTCTTGCTACCAGTGGGCCGCCTTTTCTCTGGGCCCAAGAGCCAAATGCAAGTCCCTACTGGAATCCTGTAGGATTCCATTACTTACCAGTTCAAGACCTTGAAACTTTATTATGAGAGCAGATATGTAATTTGGGAAAGGATTTAAGGCTTTAAAAAATAAAAATGTTGGCATTGGCATGCAAGGCTTCTAACTATGTCTTTTCAGCTTTGGTTGAATGAACTAGGCTTTGACATCAGAAAAGTGTATGTTTGAATCTGAACTCTGCTCACAGTGTGATTTTAAGTTCAAGCTGCTTGATTTTTCTGCACTTCATTTTGTTCATATGAAAAATAAAGGTTACTAAACTCCCCCCGCCAGGGGTGTTGTGAGGATTGAATTGGATAATGTACATAGAGTGTCCAGTACGAACCCTAGACTGCAAGGGTAATTCAGTAAAAAGCTGCATCATTATCACTTTACCTCGTTATACTAGGGATCCCTGGGTGGCGCAGCGGTTTAGCGCCTGCCTTTGGCCCAGGGCGCGATCCTGGAAACCCCGGATCGAATCCCACGTCGGGCTCCTGGTGTATGGAGCCTGCTTCTCCCTCTGCCTATGTCTCTGCCTCTCTCTCTCACTGTGTGCCTATCATAAATAAATAAATAAATAAATAAATAAATAAATAAATAAATAAATAAATAAATAAATAAATAAATACAAACAAAAACAAAAATACCTCGTTATACTGGACTACGTTTTCCTGAACATCTCTACACCTCGGAATACTTGCCCTTTTTCCTGGTCTCGTTCTCTCCATACCTGCTTACCTTATATAAAGTTCTTATTCTTTTAAGATTCTCTTTTCCACTTTGTGAAACCCTGACACTTTCCACCACCAAGAAAGGCATTTCTTTCCTGGTGGTTCTGTCCCCCACTGGCGCATTTTTCTCTTAATGTCACATAATGCACTGGGCTGTCATTTCTTACCTGTTCTTCCCACTAGATTAAGGAATGCCTTGAGTATCTTTATCTTTGGTAGTTAGCATATTACCTTGTGCTTGTGGTTAATAAATATTTTAGAATAAAAACGTATTTAATGGATACCTCAGACTAATAAAAGGACTTAAAAACCCAGCCTGTCTTATCATTGATTTTGTTTACAGTTGAACGCATGCGGAATGGGATTGATATCCTGGTTGGAACCCCAGGTCGTATCAAAGACCACCTTCAGAATGGCAAGCTAGATCTCACCAAACTTAAGCATGTTGTCCTGGATGAAGTTGACCAAATGTTAGATATGGGGTTTGCTGATCAAGTGGAAGAGATTTTAAGTGTGGCATACAAAAAAGGTAAGCTCCAAATTCAAGGAACTGATGGAAGGGATTAGAGGAAGAGTGGTGACTATGTAGTCTTCTCAGAGCTAAATGAAGCCTTATATCAGGGGGTGACTTATTTTATTTAGGAAGACTTAACTTTCTTTTTTAAAAATCATGATTTATCACATAACTGTAATGGGGAAAATTTGGGAAAGTAAGAGAAGAAAAATCTCATATTCTTCCAGCTTGATGTGCTTTGCTTTGGATCTCTTTTCCTGACTCTGTACTATTGTGCATTTGTGTGTGTGTTAATTTTAATCTTGCTATGCAACAATTTGGCATAACACTGAAGAGGTTGTGCTATGATTTAATTCCATCTGTGTATTTTAATTTTTAAATAATTTAATAATTCTGCTTAGAAACATTTTTATGCAGAAAGCTTCTTTCACACGTCAGTATTTGGAATTTATTCTTTAGGATAGATGTCTCGAAATAAAATTACTGAGTTAAAAGGTATAAATAGTTCATGCTTCTCAATGTACATTATTAATCTCTCTCCAAAAGAGTTCTATCTACTCAAACCATCATTTGAAATACATGAAAATGCAGTGTTCTTCAAAGAGCAAACTTTATAAAACATGAGGGTTGGGGAGCTTTTCAGTACCTGACCTCAAAGAATGAATAGACTGAAATCCTAGACTCAAGAGACTGCAGAAATGAGTATAGAGGAGTATAGAATCTGTTCTGGTGTTTATCATAGGTTACTTGCTTAGTGATCTCCTTCACATAAATTACTTAGGGTACTATTTCTTTGCCCATTGGGAATCCCTATGTCTTTCATTTTTGTGTCATAAGTGCCTGGCTTGGCCTCACGTTGCTGTAGCATGCTGTTGGACCCTGGAAGAACTGGGTGATGTGAAGTACTGTGTAGGCTTATTTGGGTTATTCATACTGACTTTTTTTTCCCCCAAAGATTCAGAAGACAATCCCCAAACATTGCTTTTTTCTGCAACTTGCCCTCATTGGGTATATAATGTTGCTAAGAAATACATGAAATCTACATATGAACAGGTGGACCTGATTGGTAAAAAGACCCAGAAAACGGCAATAACCGTGGAGGTAAATGATTCATTCAGCTGCTATAATTAGTAAAAAATTGTATGTCGTGTTTTCCCTGTCTGATGATATTAAGACTGGTAAATATGCACTTTTTATGGATAAATACTAAATCCATGATCCATGTGAAGGGCCAAGTAAAGATCTATTTTATTTGAGTTGTATAGTATCTGTTTTCTAAATTTCATTATCTGGTAGTCTGATTTCAAAATCTTTTGGAATCTCTGTCTGAATTATGTAAGTAGGAAGAAATTATACCTAGAATTTAAATACTTTGAGAGCAGCAGAGGAATCTAGTACTTTGTGTTGAAGCCATTTTTATGTTAGGTTCCAGCACATAAATTCCTTTTACCAAGAAACAGACCTGCAGGCTGACTAATTGCATTTTTAAGTGGGTGAAAGGATGAAACATTCAGAAATTTTTCTGTCAGTTCCTTGGTGTCCTGTAGGAATGAAAAGATGATGTTTCTTTTTCTTCATTTTCCTGGTTGGTTCAGAAAATAGAGGAACGAGGGATGCCTGGGTGGCTCAGTGGGTTGAGCATCCGACTTTTTTTTTTTTTAATATTTAATTTATTTATTCATGAGGGACACAGAGGGAGAGGCAGGCTCCATGCAGGGGTCCCAAATGCAGGACTCCATCCCTGGACTCCAGAATCACACCCTGAGCTGAAGGCAGGCGCTTAACCCCTGAGCCATCCAGGCTATCCAGGTGTCTGGAGCATCCAACTCTTGATCTTGGCTTGGGTTAAATCTCAAAGTTGTGGGTTCAGGCCCTGCATTGGGCTCCATGCTGGGCATTTTAAAAAACAAAAGAAAGCAAGAAGGAGAGAAGGAAGAAGGGAGAGAGGTAGGGAGGAAAGAAGGAAATCGACGAACCGGAGAAAGGGGAACAACAGCTCCCTACTTTTTTTTTTTTTTTTAGATTTATTTTTTAAAGATTTTATTTATGTATGATAGAGAGAGAGAGAGGCAGAGACACAGGAAGAGGGAGAAGCAGGCTCCATGTAGGGAGCCCAGCATGGGACTCGATTCCGGGTCTCCAGGATCCCACCCTGGGCTGAGCCACTGGGGCTGCCCAAGAGTTGTTTATTTTAGAGAGAGGAAGCATGGAGGGGGGCACAGAGGGAGAGAGAGTCTTAAGCAGACTTCACACTGAGTACTGAGCTGGATGTGGAGCTTGATCTCACCATCCTGAGATCATGACCTGAGCTAAAACCGAGAATTGGACTCTTAACCAGTTGTGCCACCTAGGTGTCCCACAACTTTTTAAAAGACTTATTAGGGGCACCTGGGTGGCTTAGCAATTGAGCATCTGCCTTTGGCTCAGGGCGTGATCCCGGGGTCCTGGAATCGAGTCCCACATTGGGCTTGTGTGGGGAGTCTGCTTCTCCCTCTGCCTGTGTCTCTGCACACCTCCCCTCCGCCCCCCCATCTCTCTTTCCATCACTCATGCATAAATAAAATTTAAAAAGGTTTATTAATTTGAGAGAGAGAGAGACAGCTCTCTGCTTTAATGGTTTAGGTTTGTTTGTTTTTTTGTTTTTTTTCTCTACACAGTGGTGGCAGTGGTCTGCTCTAGTTAGGCTTAAACAATTGCTTCTAGCACTAGTAGTTTTGAGCAGATGATTTCAGGTTCCAGATAGGTTTTACTAAATACATCTTTTTTTCCCTCTCATAAGCACCTGGCTATCAAGTGCCACTGGACTCAAAGGGCAGCAGTTATTGGGGATGTGATCCGAGTATATAGTGGTTTTCATGGGCGTACCATTATCTTCTGCGAAACCAAGAAAGAAGCCCAGGAGTTGTCACAGAATGTGTCCATAAGGCAGGTTGGTCCTTGCCCTCCCTTTCCTTTAGGGAGGGAGCCTCTTCCAACTGATAGACCCCATTTCCCTGTGAGAGCTCCCCTGATCTGTCAGTCTCCTCTCACAGATGAGGGAAGGGTGACCCAAACCCAAGGCTATCCTGATGCAGTAGGTTTGATCGCTCTTGTCTGGTGATCTTTACCCAGTAAATATAGCTGGACATTGATTTAATGACCAAGGAGTAAGAAAAAATTTGAGCTTTATCCATGTAAGGCACATATTTTTCCCTCTGCTTTATTTTCAGTGGGAGTATCACAAAATAGAAATGTCTTTACAGGTCTTATGGGTGATATGAAAAGTACTTGTATTGTTGGTATCTTAAGCCAGTTTATTTCTTTGGCAGGATGCCCAATCATTGCATGGAGATATTCCTCAGAAGCAGAGAGAAATCACTCTGAAAGGTTTTAGAAATGGTGATTTTGGAGTTTTGGTTGCAACTAATGTTGCTGCTCGTGGGTTAGACATCCCTGAGGTTGATCTGGTGATACAGAGTTCTCCACCAAAGGTAAGTATTCTATATTATGTTTCATCTTACTGTTTGTTTTGACTACTAAAACAAATGGGAAGTTGTATTGTTTACTTCCTGTGGTTAGTAATAAGTATCTCTTGAGTGCTGGGATGCTACATGTGATTTTAAAAACAAACCTCTTCTGAGGTCCTTCCTTCAGAACTGACCATTGAGTGGAAGTGTGGTCAGTGTCCAGAGGTTGGGAGGAATATTTCTGGTTGGAGGGAGATTTGTTGTAGGTAGGATAGCTGTGAAGTGGACTTTGAAAATGGGGGGACTGAGGCAGGGTGAGGGTGGGATAAACTCATGAGCTAGAGGATATAGAAAAGATAGTCTCTGTGTTTAAAATTGCTTGGATTTGAGGGTGATGGGAATGTCTTAGGGAGGGCCTGAAGCATAGGTTATGTGGTGTGGACAGTGCTTCATGTGAATAAAAGTTAGTATAAAAGATCTTGTTCTGTTCCTGTTGCTTCAATTGTGAGGACCCCCACAAATTGGCAGATCCTTCAGGATTAGAAGGTTGTTTATAATGATAGAAAAAATACCTGATTACTATGAAGGCACCAGCTCTTTAAAGGGTCCTGTAGAACTGTGCTGTCCAATATGATGGCCACAGCCATGTGTAGCTGTCAAGCACTGGAAGTAGTCTGAACCAACACGTGTACTCTAGGTATAAAATAAACGTTGGATTTTTAAAAATAAGGGGATCCCTGGGTGGCTCAGTGGTTTGGCGCCTGCCTTTGGCCCAGGGCACAATCCTGGAGTCCTGGGATTGAGTCCCACATCGGGCTCCCGGCATGGAGCCTGCTTCTCCCTCTGCCTGTGTCTCTGCCTCTCTGTCTCTCTATCATAAATAAATAAATCTTTAAAAAATAATAATAATAATTTTAAACTTTCTATTATGTACACTGGATTTGGAAGCCTTACCAAAAAATGTAAAATATCTTAGTGATCAGCTGTTTCATATAGGTAGCATATTGAGGTGATACAACTTTTAGATGTATTGAGTTTAAAAATATATCATTAATTTAAATTTTTAGTTTTTTAGTGGGTTACTAGAAAATTGGATATTGAAATTACATATGTGCCTCTGTAACACAGCACTATTTAGATGATGCTTTTTGCATAATTGGATGGGGACCACTATTCTAGAGAGTTTTAAAAATTGTCACCGTTCGTTATTTTAGAAATGCTAGGGAACTTCATACTCTGGTATATAATATAACCACCATACCTGCCTCTGCATACACCACTCAGGTCTTTGTGTCCTTTGTTTGTGTCACTTATGTATTTTATTTCCATAGGATGTGGAGTCCTATATTCATCGCTCTGGGAGGACGGGCAGAGCTGGAAGGACAGGGATTTGCATCTGCTTTTATCAGCACAAGGAGGAGTATCAGTTAGCACAAGTGGAGCAAAAAGCGGTAAAATTGTTTTCTTAGCCTTCGTTCTGCAAATATTGAGTTCTAAACTCAGTCTTTTATTTTTTTAATTCATTTTTTATTAACTTTAAGTTGTATTTATTGCTAGTATGTGGCCATAATTGAAAGCTTGTTAGATACATATTATTTTATACATTGTCCTACAATATCAAGTCCAGTTTGAAATAAGTTTGCATTTGAAAGCGGTGGTTTTGTTTTCTCATATATTTCTTAAGATTTTATTTATTTATTTGAGAGAGAGTGAGACATGAGAGCATGATTGGGTTGAGGGGCAGAAGGAGAAGCAGACTCACTGCTGAGCAGGAGGCCTGATGTGGGGCTCAATTCCAGGACCCCAGGATTATGATCTGAGCCAGAAGCAGCCACTTAACCGACTGAAGTCACCCGTGCCCCACCCCATATATTTTTAACATAGATTGAGGGTTATAGGAATTGCTTAAAAACCAAAATAATAGGGGTGTTTTGGGATGCTCAGTGGGTTAAGCTGACTTGTGATTTTGGCTTGGGTCATGATCTCAGGGTCCTGGGATTGAGCCCTCCCTGTGTTGGGCTACACACTCAGCTGGGAGTCAGCTTCAGGATTCTCTCTCCCTCAAATAAATAAACCAATCTTAAAAAAATAAATAAATTTAGGATGGGAGAGAGAACATGGATTTTTCTGACAGATTAATTTCTCCCCTTCCCCTGGAGCTGACTATACTTGGTGACTTGCTTAAGGAGAAGGAGGGGGCACTTTACATGTAGTGCAGAATGCAGGCAAGCACTGCCTGGTTAGATGTGGTTAACATCAGTGATAAACAAATGCCTTGAGAATGATGTAATGAGACATACCTCTGGTTTTCTTCCCCCAAGCCCATAATCTCAGTCTAAGCATGCAAAAAACCTGATAGCCTCACAGTAAGGGACAGAATTTTTACAAAATACCTGACCAGTACTCCTTAAGTCTGACAAGGTCAAGAAAAACAAGGAAATGCAGAAACTGCCACAGATCAGAGGGGTCTAAGAATGCATGATAACTCAATGTGATGTTGTCACTGAAACAGAAAAAGGGTATTAGTACAAAAACTAGTGGAATTTGAATGAACTCTAGAATTCAGTTAATAGTGTTTTGATTTCTTAGCTATGACCAATGTACCATAGAGGTAATAATAGGGAAACTCAGTACATAAACATACAGGAACTGTGTAGTATCTTTGTACCTTTTCCATAAATCTAGAACCATTCTAAAATAGTTTGTCTTTTTCTTTTTTTTTAATCTTTTAAATGTGTAATAAGTATGTTTCATAATATTAAAAAATTAGAAGATTTAATCTCAATGAAAACAGTTAATGACCACATTGTACATTAAACTGGCTCATTTTCTTGTAGGGAATTAAATTTAAACGAATAGGTGTCCCGTCTGCAACAGAGATCATAAAAGCTTCCAGCAAAGATGCCATCAGGTATGTTTCCTGCTGCCGCTGTAGTCTGTTGTAGTGCTTGTTCCATTTATTGCCTGACTTCGTGTAGTTACGAGATTTGGTCTTCTGAATCTTATTTATTATTTTAAGTGATTTATAACTTGTTATGAAAATACTGTGCTGAAGTAAAAATTAAAATCCTAATTTGTACTCACTTTTTTTTTTTTTTAAAGATTATATATATTTATTCATGAGAGACAGAGAGGGGCAAAGACACAGGCAGAGGGAGAAGCAGGCTCCATGCAGGGAGCCCAACGTGCGAATCGTTCCCGGGTCTCCAGGGTCATACCCTGGGCCAAAGGCGGCGCTACCCGGGCTGCCCATACTCATTCCTACCCAATCCTGTTCAGCAGAGGAAACCACTGTCCATTATTAATAATTTAGCCTGCCTTGGGCATTTTAAGGAATCATATCTTAGACATGGTGTGGGTGCTTCTCATGTGAAAATTGATTAGAGAGTCACAGATTATTCCACATTGTCCTCAGTCTAGTCCCCCAACTGTTAGGAATGAGTTGATCATTTCTTTAAATTATTTCTAGAGGGTGAAGATTAGGTGAAGTATCAGTGTTTGTCACTGGAAGTGCTACTGGCATTGGGAAGGGTAGCTCAGCATCTCTGGCTATGCATTGTATTCCGGGGGGTGAGAATGGGATTAGTATTACAAAACCAGGAAGGTCCTGGATTATTTTCCCAAGATTTCCAAGAGGTGACCTACCTCCCCTGCTTAAGAACCACTGAGTCTGAGCGTCAGTTCTAGACTGTTTTCCATAATTGTTATAAATATGTGTAATGCAGGACACCTGGGTGGCTCAGAGATTGGATGCCTGCCTTTGACTCAGGGCATGATCTTGGAGTCCCAGGACCGAGTCCCACATCAGGCTCCCTGTATGGGGCCTGCTTCTCCCTCTGCCTATGTCTCTGCCTCTCTCTCTGTCTCTCTCATGAATAAATAAAGTTTTTTAAATTTTTCTTTAAAAAAATAAATATGTGTAATACTTATTTTTTAAAAAATAAGGGTGGGGACACCTAGGTGGCTCAGCTGATTAAGCAGCTAACTCTTGATCAAAGCTTGGGTCTTGATCTCAGGGTTGTGAGTTTAAGCATTGGGCTCTCTGCTGGGTGCAGAAATGGGGGGGGCGGTCTATGATCAGAGGAAATGCTGGATATTAGGATATTAATTAATAGCTCAAGAAAGTTCTCCAAAGGAAAATAATTTTCAAATTTATTTTAGCATGGCCAGCTTTAAGTATTCTGTAGACAGAGTTCTCCATGACACCAGTTAAGGCAATTTGGGGTTAGGTGGCCAGGCAGGAGAAAAGACAAGCTGTTGGGGTATGAGAGATGTCCTCTAGAGGGGCTGCCCTTCCAAAAGAGGCTGCCTCATGTGGCCTTGTTCATCCTTGTCCTGGATGACCTCTTTTGAAGAAGTGACATTTATTATCAACAAGGTAATAGTGACTCCCTAACCAATGTGTATTTTCATAAAAAGTCCATATCATTTTTAAGCAGATAGGGAAGTCCTTTTTCCTTTTATTTCAGAATGGAAATAGCTGTGGTATTTTCTTTTTCTTTTCTTTTTTTTTTTTAAAGATTTTATCTTTATCATAAATAATACTGTGGTGAACATCTTGATATTCATTCTGTTGTTTCCTTGGGATGAAACTTTTTTTATTTGACAGTAAAATCAAATTAGATGCAATCAGAGGAATGGATTTATTTTTACAGAAATGTGTGATGATTGTATCCATTGCATCAAAATGATGTTAGATATATGAAATATTTGAAAGTTAGCGATTTATCTTGAGATGTTCTTGCCCTGAAAATGCAATCTGTACACTTCTGTCCTTTCTCCTAACAAGTATACTCAATCACGCCATAGGCTTTTGGATTCTGTGCCTCCCACTGCCATTAGTCATTTCAAGCAGTCAGCGGAGAAACTAATAGAGGAGAAAGGAGCCGTGGAAGCCCTGGCAGCAGCCTTGGCCCATATTTCAGGTGCCACATCAGTAGACCAGCGCTCTCTGATCAACTCAGATGCGGTAAGGCTGTCATACTCTAACACTTCATATTTTGAGTTTGAGCAGGATTTGAAAGGGTTCAGTTAGACTTACCAGTTGCTTTAACTTTTGTGTGAAGGTAGATGTATGTAAACAAAGCCCATTAAGACAGAAAATAGGTTTGTAGTATCCTGTGTCTCAGTTGAGGGGGAATGACATTGAGTGCTAATAGGTATATGGTTTCTTTTTGGGATAATGAAGTGTTTGAGAATTTTAGATAGTGGTGATGGTTGAAACCTTGTGAATATACTAAAAACCCCTGAATTATATACTTCAAATGGTGTTACGGTATGTGAATCATAGGTAACTATTTTTAATCCTAAAAAAAAAAACCCAACCGTATAAACACATAAATGCATATGATACATTTAGCCAGTATACCTAGAAACTTAGGAAGGTATATGCTTTTTTTTTTAATGAAACTTTTGAAGTAATTGTAGGTTTATATATAGTTGTTCATTTGTTTGTTTAAATTCAGTTAGCCAATGGGTTTACATTTGGTTGTAAGAGCTAACACCGAGAGATCCCTTTTACACTTTGCCCAGTTTCCACCAATGGTAACATCTTACAAAACTGTAGTATCACAGCTGGGGTACTAACATTGGCACAATCCATCAATCTCATTCTGAGTTCCCCAGTTTTACTTGTCCTAATTTGTGTGTATATGTTGGAGGTGAAGGAAGAAGTAAATGCTTTTAGGAAGAACTTTTCTGGAAATATTTTAGAAACATGAGTGTAATTTTTTTATCAGTTAGATTTGAGACTAATTTCATTCTTCTTTCTTCTGTAAGGGCTTTGTGACCATGATCTTACGATGCTCAATTGAAATGCCAAACATTAGTTATGCTTGGAAAGAACTTAAAGAGCAGCTGGGAGAGGATATTGATTCCAAAGTGAAAGGAATGGTTTTTCTCAAAGGAAAGCAGGTAAGGAATACTGGGGCCTCTGTTGTGACCTTGCTTTGGTTCAGTAGTTTAATGTGGATGATAAAACTCCAAATGGAGGCTTCTCCCTGTTCTGTGGGGATGATGCACTTTTTGCTCTCTACTTAGTCTTCTCTGGGCATCATCCATGACCTTCAGTTGCCCTTTAGTCACTGACAACTACCCCATTTGTATCTCTACCCTGAACTATGCACACAGTGCTAGACATGGACATCTAGCTGCTTCCCTGACAATTTCTGCCCAGGCGGGGTTATTGAACAACTTAAAATTGTTCAAAATTGAATCCAAAGTCTTTTAATTTGGGTAGCCTGGGTGGCTCAGCGGTTTAGTGCCGCCTTCAGTCCATGGTGTGATCGAGTCCCACGTCAGTCTCCCTACATGGAGCCTGCTTCTTCCTCTGCCTCTGCCTGTGTCTGTGCCTCTCTCTTTCTCTGTGTCCCTTATGAATAAATAAATAAAATCTTTTAAAAAAAAAACCCAAAGTCTTTTAATTTAAACCTGAAATTTAAAATCTTGCCTTCCAAACCTGGTGTTCTTTCTTCCAGTCCTGCTCTCCGGTAACAGAACACACAAGCACAGCAGTTCCGAAACATTTTGGTCTTATAATTCCTTTACATTCTTAATAAATGTTGGGGATACCAAAAAGCTTTTGTTTATGTGAGTGATACCTATTAATATTTACCATATCAGAAATTAACCTGGAGTTCTAAAACCTAAACTTATTCCATTAGCCATCAGAGAGCAGTGATGCCATCACATGTAACTTAGTGTCTGGTATACTCCACTGTGTGCTTATGAGAGAACAAGAGTGGAAAGGACCCCTAACATTTTAGTGTTATGAAGATAGTTTTGACCTTGTGGAACTTCCCCAAAAGATCTCAGGTTTCCAGGGGTGCATGGACTATATTTTGAGAACCACTGGTCTAATGAACCAGATCAGATTTGTTGTCCACTAACTGCATGTCTATGTTGACCTCCTTAAGTAACTCCACATACTGTATGGGTTAAAGTCTCAGCCTTCACATGGAGGAGAAGAGTCCTCATGAGCTGGCTCCTGATCCCTTTATGAGTTTCATCCTTGCCTCCTCCCTGCCAGTACCCTCTGCTCCAGCAGTGCCATGTGCACCTTGCTTTCTTTCTATCATCCCAAATGCATGTTCAACCCAGCGTTAATACTGTTTCTTTCCCCCCATTATCCTTTATGACTTGACCTGGCGTTAAGTTTCCCTGTGAAGCTTCCCTGGCCAGATGGTAGAGTTGGTAGCATCTTTATCTGGATTTCAGAGTTCTTAGGATGTGCCTTTATTCAGTTAAATTTTTTTACCTTGCTGTGCATGCTACTGACCAAGAGCCTCAAGAACACTATGATATACTAATGGGGAAAAACTATATTCTAGGTATTTTATGCTCCAGTGAGGGCATGGTGTTAAATATTTAGTATTATATGTGAATGAAGGGACATCTGGCCGGCTTAGTCGGTAGAGCGTGCAACTTTTGTCTTGGGGTCCTGAGTACAAGCCTCATGCTGAATGTAGAGATTATAAATAAATAAATGGAAAAAATACATGTGAATGAAGATTCCCATTAATTGCAAAATCCATCAGTACCTGATGCTACCTGTGGTTATAATTGTGTGAATTATTGGGTGGAAATAGGTAAGCCTCATAAGATGTTTTATGTAAAAGCAGCCAGAGGAGAGGAGTCTGTTCAGCTACCTTGGTGCAAACCAAGAAACAGGACTTCCTTGATTGGGGGTGATTGGGGGTGATGGCACTGTTACTGTAGTATGTATGTATGCATTTATTTATTTATTTTTATGAGGGAGAACATGAGCAGGGAAGGGAAGAGCAGACAGAGGGAGAAGGAGAAGCAGACTCCCCGCTGAGCAGAGAGCTGGATGCAGTGCTCTGTCCCAGGACCCTGGGATCATGACGTGACCTGATGGCAGACGCGTAACTGACTAAGCCACCCAGGCACACCTAACTTTAAAAAAATTTTATAGCAGGATGAATTGTGAAAAACTAGAAAATTAACAATAGAAGATCATTTATTTTGGGGTGCCTGGGTGGCTCAGTCAGTTAAGCATCCAACTCTTGATTTCAGCTCAGGTCATGATCTCAGGGTTATGAGATGGAGCCCCACATCGGGCTCCATGCTGGGCATGGGGACTGCTTACAATTCTCTCTCACCCATTCCCCCTTCCCTCCCTCTCTTAAAAAAAATTTTTTTTTTCTACTTTTAGTTAGGTCATCTTGAATAGTAGACACTTTGTCTTGGGAAAGAAGTGTATTTCTAATATAAACTATTGGTTTTGGAGCCATTCTGACCAGATTTTTAGAATCTGCTCTGCTTATGAGCTGGGATCCTGTGACAAGTCAGCCTCTCTGAACATGTTTCCTCAGCTCTAAAATGTAGCTAATAGCTACTTGAGGAGTTATCCAAGAATGATCTCCAGTCAGTTCTGAATCATTTGGAATCCCTTTTAAAAATATCTTTAGGGGGAAAAAATATCCTTAGGTTTTTGGTATTGTGCTTTTGAGAGGTATAATATATTGGCCTTGGTCTAAAGTTAATACCTGGAGTCTTTTTGTTTCTGATTTTTAATAAAATACGTGATCTTTGGGAATATCACTCAATGTACACATCTGGCTTTGGTGAAAGGCTGGGTTAACTTGCATTTGTTTTGATTTCTAGGGGGTTTGCTTCGATGTCCCTACTGCAGCATTAACAGAAATACAGGTATTCTTGTCTCTTGGATTTTGAAATTAACGTATTTAAATTATAAAATGTTCACTACTGGGGTGCCTGGGTGGTTCAGTTGGTTGAGCAGCCGAGTCTTGAATTTGACTTGGTCATGATGTTGGGGTCACGGGGTCAAGCCCTGTGTTGAGCTTTGTCCTCAGCTCGAGTTGGTTTGGGATTCTCTCTCTTCCCTCTCCCCCTTCCCATCCCCCTGCTCATGCCCTTTCTTTAAAATAAGTAAGCAAGTAAATATAATCAATCTTTGAAATGTATTCATTACTGAAAATACAGAATAATAGAAAGGGAAACAACAGCTTTAGTCCCTTTTCTAAAAGACAATTAGAATTAATGAATTTTAGTATTTTTTTTCTCCTACCAGTCTTTTTTTTTCTCGTAGTCTTTTTATTCTGATAGTTTTCTTACTCAGCCTGCCTGTTTTCCTTCTTTCCTTTCTCTAGAGTTGTGAATAATATCTAGCTTTTTTTTCCTTGTGTATATTATATGGGGTTTACATAGACATTTTTTTAAATTGCTCTATCTTCATTCACTACTGAATGCATCCCCGGGTTGTATTATTTTTAACCACTGACCTTTTAGGGATCCCTGGGTGGCGCAGCGATTTGGCGCCTGCCTTTGGCCCAGGGCGCGATCCTGGAGACCCGGGATCGAATCCTACGTCGGGCTCCCGGTGCATGGGGCCTGCTTCTCCTTCTGCCTGTGTCTCTGCCTCTCTCTCTCTCTCTCTCTCTCTCTCTCTCTGTGATTATCATAAATAAATACAAATTAAAAAACAAAAACACACTGAGCTTTTAAACACTTGGGTTATCAGTCAGGTTTTTCTTTAGAGAAAAGGCAAGGGAATGGTCTTTCTCTTGCCTTTTTAAACCAAATTCAATAAAAATCAGAGCAGGTGGGGATCCCTGCCTGGGTGGCTCAGTGGTTTAGCACCGTCTTTGGCCCAGGGCATGATCTTGGAGTCCCGGGATCAAGTCTATGCATGGAGCCTACTTCTCCCTCTGCCTGTGTCTCTGCCTCTCTCTCTGTGTCTCTCATGAATAAATAAATTTAAAAATCTTAAAAAAAAAAATCAGAGCAGGTAAAAATAAAACCATCTTTCTGCAGGAAAAATGGCATGATTCGCGTCGCTGGCAGCTCTCTGTAGCCACGGAGCAACCAGAGCTGGAAGGACCTCGGGAAGGATATCGAAACTTCCGTGGACAGCGGGAAGGCAGTCGAGGCTCCCGGGGACAGCGGGAAGGCAGTCGAGGCTTTAGAGGACAGCGGGAGGGAAATCGAAGCTTCAGAGGACAGCGATCAAGAGGTGGCAACAAAAATAACAGATACCCAAACAAAGGCCAGAAGAGGAGTTTCAGTAAAGCATTTGGGCAGTAATTTGAAGTGGAGTTTATGCAGTAACATGGAACTGAACACTGATTTTCCTGCAAGGTTAAAAGCACACTGTTTCCTTCCTGACCACTTGCCTTGTCCCCATCTCTTCCAGAGAGACAAGCTTCATGGAAATTATTTCATCCGATGATTATGATTTGTAACTATTGCTACTTCTGTATCAGGTTTATCTTTTGAAAGGGTGTATGAATTCATTAAATTTTGTTCTGATACACTGTGGGTTGTAAGATAAAATCAAGCATGATTTTGCCCATACTTTTTAAGTTGATCTGTCTTTATACTTAGTGTCCTTCCTTGAATACCTATGGGGAAGATAGTGTTCTCTGGAGAGGCACTCTGCACAGTCCAGGCTTGGGTCTGTAATTAGCATTCCTCAGCCATCTGCCTAACAGGGACTCACGTGGTCCTGTAACATGTCTTCTGAGAATTAGTACTGAGCAATGTTTTGAAGCAAGGTTTCAAACTTAGCTGGGAGGTAATACATTTTATGGCAGCTTATGCTCTAGGTTTGGAGGATGGTGACACAAATGGAGACATTATATAGATTTGCCATTGTTATGTACATTTTTATACATTTTTAACTTTTTAAAATTTTTATTTATTTATGATAGTCACAGAGAGAGAGAGAGAGAGAGGCAGAGACACAGGCAGAGGGAGAAGCAGGCTCCGTGCATCGGGAGCCCGACGTGGGACTCGATCCCGGGTCTCCAGGATCGCGCCCTGGGCCAAAGGCAGGCGCTAAACTGCTGCGCCACCCAGGGATCCCCATTTTTAACTTTTTAAAGTGACAGATGCTTCCATGAATTCTTCACAGATTTTATCTATTTACGTATAAAGAAGTATTTTAATAGAAAGCAAGTGTCTTTAAGGAATTGCAAATGTGTAAGATGTCCCCATAACTTTCTTTGTAAGTAAGGAGGATGAATAATAGGTGCTTGATGTAATGATAATGTACTCCACTTCCTATTGGAAGATTAACATTATTTACCAAGAAGGAATTAGGGGGTCAGGGGCAGAGATTTGCATTGCTGACAAGAGTCAGGAAACCCACTGAAAATGTTTTTCACTTGTGAGAAGGAAACCTGCATCTCTGTTGAGAACAAAGATGCATGATAAAACATTCTTTTCACAGTAAAAACAGCAGGTTATTAATGTTTCTAGAGATGAACTTCTAATGCGTAAACTGGAGTTTTAGGTAGAATGATTCAGTATGTTTTCTCAGAGTCCTAGTTCCTGTAGCCATGGTGTAGGATCTGTTTCTGTAAGACTGCTATTCCATCAAGAGGTTTTATAGCTGCTTAGGGACTTCCTTTTAGGACAGTCTCCGTATGGTTATTTTAAATTGTTGCTTTGAGGGAACTGAAGAACTTCACATAGCCCCTGGCCAGGTAACTCTGAGTTCTCAAATATTACTTCTCTGACAAACTTCTGCATGGTGCAGGAGCATAAGAATGGCATTGTTTTCTTGCCTTATTAGTTCCTAGAAATTCTGTACTGGGAATCTCAGGGAATACACTGATAGGAGAAGTTAATATACATGGCCTGTCTTGTTTTCATTTGATTATTTTTGAACAGTTAAAATCTTGCTGAGCCCTGGTTTTTCTCACTGGATTGAGTCTTTTATCTAATTGCCTTTTACCCTGTGACCTTGCAGTAAGGTGTTCAAATAGCAGATCAATTCTTTGATGCTTGAGGCAATGTGTCCTTCCTCTGTTTGGACTTCAGGTCTGTCCTTCATTCCTGACTAGATGTTTCTCTGTTTTCAGAAATTCTTTTGGCTTTTCTTTCTTGATCCACTTGTCCATTTTACCACTTTTCCTCCCACTCCTCACGGCTTCCCGTCAAGCCACAGAGTCTCAGGAGAGGGTGTTTGATGACTTGACAACTCATGTGCTGTGTAGATGATAATGTCTTAGATTCTGGTTTTGCTCAAGTACTGAGCATATTTTAATAACAACCAAAATATTTCCTACTCTGAATAGGAATGGTTCCTTATCAAGGAGATTAAAAGAACACGTTACCTGTCCTTTAGGAAGGAGCATTTAAAACCTTGATGTGGATTAGCCTACAGAAAAATAATCTGGCAGAAAACAAGGGTAAGGGGGAGGCATTTAATGGGAGTTTCACTTCATACAACTTAATTTCAAGGAAAACATGGCTGTTTCAAATAAATGAAGCTGAAGTTTCTCCTGGATCCCAGAATTCACACCATACTTAAAAATACATCATCCAGCTATTACATGATTTTAATGGGGTTGTTAGACTAGTGGGGGAAATGTGCTTTTTACTATTTTCTATGGAGAAAATATTTTCCAATGTAACAAACTCAATGAACTTTTAAAATACAATCCATTTACATTGGAGCTATCGGTGCAGCAGATCCTTTACAATTGTACATAAAATGCTTTTTCTGTAAAATTGAGTTAATATATAAAATACTGCATTATGCCAGAATAAAGGTATTAATATTTCCTATTTATCTTTTTGGTGGCTTTTCTTAAAATTGAGTATTCTTTAAATTATGGGTGTAAAAATCCAAACATAGGAGAAAAAAAATAACTTGAGTCACTCCATATTTAACCTTTTTGTGAGCAACTCTTCCAAGAATTCATTTACAGAATTTGAATCATTCAGTTTTGTGAAGTGCTTTTTTTCCTTCTCAATATGTATTTTTGTGAAGTGCTTTTTCCTTTTCAATATGCGTACACTACTTTTCTGTAGGTACAGATCTTTAAATTTCTGATGACTACATAGTATCTCATAGAATGGGTATGCCACTGTATTTAATCTAGATGGCTATGTTAGTTTTTTACAATTTTTCACTGTTATGAATAACTCAAATGAATTTCCTTGTATAAATCTTTGCCTACTTGTCTATCACCTAGAAATGCATAAGAACTCCCTGGGACAAAGTTTAGAAAGCAATTCTGAGGAACATTAATATTTTAAAGGACATTTAATTTTGTTGATTCCTTAGAATAATTGTTTCCCCCAGGGGTTAATGTTTTACATAATCCTAATACAAGGATCAAAACCAGGATATTACATTGAGGGGTGTTGTCTTATAGATACTTGTTTGTACTTCACTTTCTTTTCCTTAATGGCATATTCTAGAAATCACTCCACATCAGCCCATAGAAATCTTAACTCTTGCTGTTTGAAAACTGCATCATACTCCATTGTGTGGAGTACCATAGTTTATTCAACCATTTTCTTAATGTATGGGCACATAGATTGTTTCCAGTGTTTTGCAGTTAAACAGTGCTACAGTGGGGAACTTTGTATAGATGTATTTTCATCCTGTTGGAGGTGTATCTTGAGGGGTATATTCCTGGAAATGGGATGGCTGGGCCAAAAGGTAAGTGCATATGTAGTTTTAAATTTTTATTTTATATGGAGGTTTATTATATATTGGCAAATTTCTCTCTAGAAGAGGAATTCCTGCCTTGTAACTTAACTGAAGAAGCCAGTCCATTTGTTCTGTAGATTCTAATATATTTGAATTTTGCTGATGCATCTTTTTTTTTTTTTTATGATTTTAAAATTTTATTTATTCATGAGAGACAGAGAGGCAGAGACACAGGCAGAGGGAGAAGCAGGCTCCTCCTTCCCGCGAGGGAGCCCTGAGCTAAAGGCAGGCGCCCAACCACTGAGCCACCCAGGCTTCCCAGCTGATACATCTCTGTCATTTAACAAGCTCCTTTCCCCCCTGTATTTAATGTAAATTGATAATTAGATCTAGAAGGGTCCAGTTGTCCCTCTGTCTTTTGATGTTACTAGCAAAAGATCATTACTATTTACATGTATAATTTCATTAGGATTCTTGGTGATACTCATTCTTCATTCATTAGCTGGAATACCTCTAACGAAAGAAATTTAACACTTGTTACTCTGAATACTGTTCCTACAGAAAAGGCAGAGAAGTGCCTGATTTTCTTTCCCTTTGTTTATTTTATTTTTTGAGAGAGACGGGGCAAGGGAAAGGCTTGAGGGAGACAGAATCCTCAAGCCGACTCCTCACTGAGTGAGGAGCTGGACGCAGAGCTCGATCTCATGATGGGAGCCAAAATTAAGAGTTGGACACTTAACCGATTGAGCCACATAGGCACCCCTTTTTCCCTTTATTTATGTACCAATTTCCAAAATTATAATTGGTTCTCTAGCTCCATAGGGATGCCCGAGTGGCTCAGCGATTTGGTTCCCTAGCTCCTTCCAAAGGTGGCCAGTGAGGATTTAATTGTTAGTGTTGATTCATGATAAATTGATGGATTTTAACATTTGATACACTTTAATTGGTGGCTGTCATTTTATGGATGTTCAGATTGTCTGATTTTTGGCCAGCAAAAGCCTCTTTTTCTTTAAAGATTTTATTTACGGGATGCCTGAGTGGCTCAGCAAGTTGAGCATCTGCCTTTGACTCAGCGTGATCCCGGAGTCCGGGATTGAGCCCCACATCGGGCTTCCTGCATGGAGCCTGCTTCTCCCTCTGCCTATGTCTCTGCCAAGCCACAGAGAGAGAGAGAGGCAGAGACATAGGCAGAGGGACAAGCAGGCTCCCCTCCAAGCAGAGAGCCTGATATATAGATATATGTATCTATATATGATATATATAGATACATATATCTATATATATCATATATATGTTTTTTTTAAAGGAAATGGTGGCCTACAATCCAGGAACCAAGACTTATGTTTAAATAATATTTAAATATATACATATAATGTATATATATTATATATATGTATATATAAATATATATATATGTATTTTGTCTGACTCATTAAATAGCTTGAGTTTGTTCTTGATTGTTGTCATTATTGCTATCATAAAAGTGATCTTGGGGTGCCTGGTTGTTGCAGTCGGTTGAGCATCAGACTCTTGTCTCCAGCTCAGGTCGTGATCTTGGGGGCATGACATCGAGCCCCGTTTCAGGCTTCAGGCTCTGAGCTCAGCATGAGTCAGCTGGCGATATCTATCTCTGTCTCCCTCTGCCCCTCCCGCCAAGCACAAGTGTGTTTGCACACTGTCTCTCAAATAAAATAAATCTTTAAAACTGATGTTTTTCTTCACTGTATCTTTGCCCCAATGAAAAGTTGGTTTTTGTTTCTTTGTGATTGGCCTACTTACTGAACTTTTTTTTACTTTCTTTCTTTCTTTTTTGTTTTACTTTTTTACTTTCTTTGTTCAGTTGTTTTCCTTTGCTTTTTCAGGAAGACAATCCTATGTAATCTGCAAATAATAATTTTCCCATCTCCTTCCCAAACATGATACCTCTTATTTTGTTCATTTGTCTAGTTGCATTTCCTGAGACTTTCAGATCAAGACTATATACTGAAAATGATACAGTCCCATTGGTCTCATTAAGGAGTTTTCCATTAGATGGGCTGTTAAAAAAAAAGACAAAGGAATTGATCTTTTTTTTTTTTAAGATTTTATTTATTTATTCATAGACATAGGGGGAGAGAGAGGCAGAGGGAGAAGCAGGGAGCCTGATGTGGGACTTGATCCTGGAACTCCAGGATCACACCCTGGACCAGAGGCAGGCACTAAACCGCTGAGCCACCCAGGGATCCTCAGGAATTAGTCTTTTTTGTTATCTTTTCTTTTTTTCTTTTTTCTTGGTTTTTATGTTTTTCGAAGGGGGAGGGGCTGAGGGAGGGAGACTCAAGCAGACTCCACTCTTAGTGCGAAGCCTAACATAGGGCTCTGATGACCCTGAGATCATGACCTGAGTCAAAATCAAGAGTCAGATGCTTCCCTGACTGAGTCACCAAGTGCCCCAGAGTTAGCGCTTTTAGTGTGGAGTTTTTACAGCAATGAATGTAACTGGTAGACATGTTGGGCCAGCAAGTTAACTCCCTTTCACTACAGATGCCTTCTACTTTTGTCTCTATGCTGTCACCTTTTATGAGACAGAGCTCAGCTCACTGCACTGTGGGGATCTGTGCTCTGCCTCCTATGCACACCTTTCACAGAGATTGCTTTATAACATTTCACAGAGTTCAACCTCCAAAATACCAATATAAAAAGAAGGCCATATGGCAGCCAGCGTTCTTCTATTGCAAATTTCTTAGTCTTACATCTTATTTATTTATTTATTTGTTTGTTTATTTATTTATTTATTTATTTATTTATTTTAGTGCATCTGTGTAAGGATTTTTCCAAAAATTCCCATTTTGAAAGTTTTTATCTGGGTGTTCTTTTAGTTAGATATTTAGAGATCAGTACGTGCGTCATGGAGGTTTATTTTTTGAGCTCCTACTACAACAGCATAACATACGGATTGAAAGTGTAGGCTCTGAAAAAAAAAGTGTAGGCCTTGGAGCAAAACTGCCTACTTCTATGTATGACCTTTGGCAAATTATTAATCTTTACAGACCTCAATTCCTTTTAAATTTTTTTTAAAATTTATTTATGATAGTCACAGAGAGAGAGAGAGGCAGAGACACAGGCAGAGGGAGAAGCAGGCTCCATGCACCGGAAGCCCGATGTGGGATTTGATCCTGGGTCTCCAGGATCGCGCCCTGGGCCAAAGGCAGGTGCCAAACCGCTGCGCCACCCAGGGATCCCTAGACCTCAATTCCTAATGTGCAGAATGGGAATAATAATTTTTCATAGAGTTGTGAGGATTAGATGATTTTCCTCCAAGTTTTTATTTAAATTCCAGCTAATCAACATACACTGCAATACTAGTTTTGAAGATTAGATGATTTTAATATGTGGAATGTTATTTGGCTCATAGTAAGTAATTAGCTACCATGACTAACCATGCTAGTTCTTTTCCTATCATGAACAGCTAGGTATTGAGCACCTACTATGATTATTACAGTGGTTTCCTCTCCAATCTCCTTGCCTTTTCTCTGTCTCCCCCTTCAGTGGTTTTCAGAATAATCCTATAAATCAGATTTTTGTCACTCCCTCAAAACCATCCAATGGCTCCCATCTTAGAATAGCCAAAGTCCCTATCATGGCCTTAAAAACCCTACATAACTGGGCCTACAATCCTTTTCTGACTTTATCTCCTACTACCCTCACTGATTGCTTTTTATGTGGTGAAGGCTACCTTCACTCAAGAAGCTATATATCAAGAATAAATGAGTCCTTATTGTCACATTTTCATCCAGTCATGGGCTAGGGGTTTTTTTTGTTGTTGTTTTTGTTTTTATGGACTAGGTTATATACAAATATCAAAAGGTTTCTGTCACTCAGCTCATGGCAACTAACGAGAAATTTTTATGTTTCTAAACAAGATCTCCCCGTGTTCTGTTAAAGTCAGCCGATCCTTTCGTGTGGATAAAACTTCTTCGGGTCACGCGAGAGAAGAATTCACTCCCGCAGGGGGTGGTGGGGCTGGAAGTGGGCCCACCCTTACTGACAGCTTCGTTTCCATGACAACGGTTGCTGTGGCGCCCACTCCGCCTTTCCATTGGTCACTGCCGAGCCGTATTGCGGTTCCCTTGGCGCACCTCATTGGTTACGGTTCTGTGGTG